GCGGATCTCCCTGAAGAAGATACCCGTCACAACGCGCCAGAACGTCATAACAGCAGCATATTGGAGATCAGAGCTGGGCTTCGACCTGGTCGGTGCCACAGTTGCGGGCATGGTTGGTTGTGACGATAGGGCGCAGGGCAAAGTAGAGCAAGTTCTGGTAGAGTTCTGGACTCGAGCCCAAGACCTGATGAGAGTGTCACGATGACGTTCGTCGCTTATGTCATCGAGCATGGCACTCACCAGTCTTCCCACTCTGCCCACCACCGTTCATGACAAGGACCACGATGACCGAATGAGCCCTTGCGCAGTCACTTCAAGTGGTTTCGAATCTATCTCGAAACTTATCCGAGCAATCTCACTCAATCGGGCATCGAGAGTGGACGTCTTGACTAGACAGCTAAACGGCCTTGCCACTTGAAAATGCAGCGAAAATGACACGGCCTGAGACTTTTACGACTGCAACAATCTTTCTGAGTCTCCTTCCACCCAAGCGGCTTTCTCGCGGCGTTTCGCGCAGGACGACATTCTACAGCCCTTCGTTTCCCGTGTGCCGTCCGCGCTCATCGTCAACGCGGATGCCAGCGTAGAACGCACTGAGAATAGGGTGCCAGGAGCGACGACACATGAAAACAAGGCATTCACCGAAGCTCCATCGCCTTTGGCATAGATTTCTTGCCGCTCACCTATCAGGACATGAACGAAATCTGTAGACTCTGCGGCGACAGTGTGTGATGCCCGCTCTGGCGATGTGCAGAACTCATTTGCGATTAATATGGCACCGCGTGATACGATCATCTTCCATACATCGTCTACTGGAACCACCACTTTCGCCAAGCACCTTGCCAGTCACCCCAGCTCGAGGATCAACGGCCACGAGTTTCTCCGATTCGTTGTCCAACGATCTTCCGCACTGTCGTCCGAGTGCGCCCCCGGTCACTGTTTCCAAGCCCGGGAGATTTTCGGAGCCGGGGAAGGGACGATCTGGATTGACTATCTGAATGACGCCACGGGTGCCGTACCTTGGTCCTCGTGGTCTTCTGGGTTATTCTCGTCGCTCACTGTATCGTGAACCTTCTCTCTGTTCCTCACCCAGTGCTCGTTCAGTGCGCTCCGGATCTCCCACGACGGGTTCGTCCACCCTATGCACAACACTAGTCACCGCAGCTCCAGTGATAGATTACCCAGTGCTGACGAGGCTACACACCACTAGCGCCAAGACGGCACTGGTTCCTACCCCCGATCTCATGCCCCACCCTGTTTTTGTTGAGACTCCCCCAACGCACAGCTCAGTCTTTCCCTCTAATCCTCCCGGCTCCGAGCTCGTGAACTGCATTGACCCTCATCAGAGGATCTCATTTGATCACAGATCTGGAATGAAGCCTGGGGCGTAGGATTCAGCTGACACGCCGCCTACTCGAGTCAGAACGTGGACACTAGACCGTCGTCTTGTCAGAACAGTATGAGTGGTGGCCTGCTTACTCGGTCGAGTAATCGTGTGTCCTCTTTACACGGCCTTCGTTGAGATCCCTTCCTAGATGATAATACTTATGCTCTACTTTCAAGTCGGTTTAACTCAGAAAGTCTCGTGCCCGCTTATGTGGCAAGTGGTCAATGACGTCACGCGCCGGAAATCATTTGTAATCACAGAGAACCAAACGCGCGTCCTCTCTTTGCACGGCATCTGTTGGCATAAGAGCACATAAGAGCACATCTTTTTACTCCAGTTTCCCCACAGCACGTACCATGAGCAACTTCCCCAAACGCAAGATCGGAGGTGTCGAGGTCTCTGCTATTGGATTCGGCGCGATGGGCATTGGAGGCATCTACGGCCCCGCTCCGCCTGATTCAGAGCGCTTTGCGGTATGTGATCCTCCTGCAGTAGCAGCCTTGCTTATGCCTCACAGACTCTGGATGCGGCGTATGCCGCAGGATGCACGATGTGGGACACGGCGGATATTTACTTCGACTCCGAGGACCTTATCGGTCAATGGCGCGTCCCCTCTGATTACATCCACATCCCCTAGCCCCTGATGCATCAACCCGTCCCAGGTTCAAGCGCACCGGCAAACGAGACGAGATATTCTTGGCTAGCAAGTTTGGCTTCATCGGCATGTCGGGCGACCGGGTGATCGATGGGTCGCCGGAGTATGTGCGCACGGCGGTCGAGAAATCGCTTTCGAGACTCGGTGTGGACACGATCGACTTGTACTATCTCCACGTGCGTTGTCTCGCTTGTCTGCCGGTTCTTCCTGTGGCTGATCGGTGGACAGCGCGCGGATCCTACGGTTCCCATCGAGGTCTGGATCGCTCACAGCGGAATACCACGCTGGTCGCTCACCATATGTTTTACAGAAAACGGTCGGTGCCATGGCTGAGCTTGTCAAGTAAGCATCCGAGCCTCCTCGTGAACATGCGCTGACCACCTGCAGAGAGGGCAAAGTGAAACACCTTGGTCTCTCGGAGGTCTCCGCGAACACGCTGCGGCGCGCGCACGCCGTGCATCCGATCGCTGCCGTCCAGGTCGAGTACAGCCCCTTCACGCTCGACATCGAAGACCCGAAGATCGCGCTTCTCAAGACGTGCCGCGAGCTCGGGGTGACAGTCGTGGCATATTCGCCGCTGGGACGAGGACTTCTCACCGGGGCCTACGTGCGTCAGGCTGTATTTTTTCCCGTGACATGAAGTGTGTCTGATCGCGTCTGAAGAAATCCTCTGCCGACTTCCCGGAGGGCGACTTTCGGCTGTTCATCGAGCGGTACAATGAGAAGAACTTCCCCAACATTCTCAAGATCGTGGACGGTTTGGGCAAGGTCGGGGAGAAACACCAGGCTTCCTCGGGCCAAATCGCACTCGCGTGGCTGCTCGCCCAGGGAGAGGATATCATTCCGATCCCCGGGACCAAGAAGATCAAGGTCTGTTCGGTATTCAGTTCATCAGCCGTGGGTGACTCAACGCTGCGCAGTATCTCGAGGAGAACTTGGCGGCGATCAAGATCAAATTGTCTGACGAAGAGACTGCGGCGATCCGCACGCTTGCCCTCGAGGCGGATGCCCAGCAAGGTGAACGATACCCGCCTGATCTGGCAAAAGTGTTGTTTGTGGAAACTCCGGAACTGTAAATCATAATATGTGAACTGTACTGCAACCCTCCAACAAAGAGACGGGGCTGAATGTATGCCCTGAGACAAGGCGTCACGTGTACCGTGTTTTACTATGGGCGGCGTGTCGATCCCATCCCAATGTTGTTGCAGAGATCCTCCTTCCGCCTTCAGGTCGGGGCAGCAAACGCGATTCCCATCTTGGTTGTTGTTCATATCGGTGCGTTACTTTCCCGCCTCCCCTTTTGCTTGCACCCGCCCCACGCAAGTGTTGAGAATGGATAGACCGCAATTTCATTGCAACACCCATAATTTCATGACACCTATCTTTCCATGAGAAGATCGGCGCACGTGGGAGAATCCCGCCTGTCAGTGTTGAGAGCATTGAGTAAGGCGGGGCACTGTGTGACGTGTGGACTGATGAGCATGGCACACCGAGTGTCACCGACTGATCTGCGCACAAGGTCGGCGTCTAAGCCTGCAGCGGTAACCTAGAGAATCGAGATCGGATGGGCTTCATGCTGCATTTGATTGGAAATATCTTCGCAGCAGAGCTTGGATCTGGTCAACGTGCAACCAAGAGGAAGGAGTTGGACGGTTAAGTACACGGGACGGCACGTTCCACACCTCAGGAAGAATCAGATATCGGCCGGGGACGGCTACTCCATGCGCCCAAACTTTTAGAGTGTGCTGTAACGAGGCGTGGCACCATCACGCTGTCAAGAGTTGGGACTTCAACTCCAACGAGGGTCAATCTAGAAGCCGCCGGCTTGATTGCCGCATCATCGTCGTGTCTGGTATTCCTGACGGCGGCCGTAGCGGTCCAAACGATAGTGTAGATGGAAACAAGGTCATGCCATTCGTGGTACAAACGATGATACATAGCAGCGAGAATAAAGATACAGTGATCAAAAGCGGCCGTCCTCATGGGCGGCTCTCTGAGTCGGAATCAGGTATAATAGCCTCCCCATCCGTGATAGACGCCCGGCCAATAATTTGGGGCCTGGTACGGGCTGTAATGAGGGAGACTCGACGGCCGTGGGGTCCACTCCGAGCCATTCTCGTCAAACTGAACGCGCCCGTTGGAGTACTGCCAGACGGTAGTGCGCGGGGACGTCCACGCCGCCACTGGGGCTCCAGCGGCGGACAGAGGGCTGGGCGGAGCTGGGCTCATGTACGGAAGCGGATTAGACACCTGGTGCATCGTGTGCGCAGGTGATATGTCTGCGAAAGAGAGATCAGTCCAGGGTCGCTTTGGGTGATTGCTGCCGCGCACGATAGTAGGCCATGCGCGGGTTGCAGTGCGCACAGCGAGGGCCGTGTGGGCATTGGGGAGCAGGAGGCTTAGAGCGGCAGAAACGCATGTCCGATGCTTTATCGCTCGGGTGAATAGGTAGGATTGGAGGCGGATTACAGTGTGGTGACGGCCCTGGAAATGAACGCGCGCGCCTTTAATAGTTCGTTTGGGTGGCGGGAAAGTACAAGACGGCGGTCCTGCATTGTGCTCGAAGAAGGCACGACTTGCGCATGCGGCACAAATTCACGCAAGCAGTCTGGACTAAACTGGGGGGGATGAGGGCAGCGGCGGCTGAGGATCTTCCTACCTTGGAAGGTGTTTACGTGAGAACGAGCTGTGGTGATGTAAACCAGATGTGCCTGCCTTTCCGACTTCGGGGAGCAGTTCCGGACGCGTCTCGGGCGCCTTCACAGAACGATGACGGAGTGACGTACAATACAGCTTATGCGCAATGTGCTCGCCGTTCGGAGAAGACCAAGGGCGGTCCGAGAGGACTTGGTCACCGTGTTTGAGTCAGCAGCGAAGCTTGATTGATACCATTACGTTGTCGCGGGCGGCGTTTTTCTATTTTGGACAGGAGGAGCTCTTGTCCAACAGTGTCCAACGCAACCCTTCGCGACATCGTCCAACATCGCCTGGGATAGGAATCGACAAACAACAGCTTGACACAATCTTGGTTTTCCCACGTTTCATGGTTTTCCCACGCCTTCCCGCGGTTAAACCGGCAATTTTCAAGGTCCGCATAACCCCATTATCTCCCACGGTTCAGGTTCGATTGATGGGCGACTGCGACAATAGCTTATCGCTCGGTCCCAGTGGACTCCCGCACCCTGGCAGGGGGGCACCGTAGCCATCTACAGCAGGGCACATGGAGTGATTCTCGGGCCTACGATGCGCAGCAGAAGGAAGTGTTCGGCATCGGAAGCATTCTGGCTTGATACTCAACGTTTAGGTATCATCTAGTATCATCTGCTCACCTCGCTTTCGGCTCTCAAGAATTCCTGTCAATGATTTCTCACGATTTCATAATGACCACCGCCACTCGATCGTCAGCTCAATCTTATCTGATCACTTTCAAGAGAGATAGACGATGTGATCCCAGATGGGGTTCGATGGTCCGCCCCGGACCGATATGGCAAGCCTGTGTCGATCCCTTTCTGTCGTGAGACACCACATACCGAAAAGACAATCCAGCGAGAGAATGATGGAAGATCTCTCTTCTGTGATCAGCATGGTTTCGCTGGCCGGAAATGGGGAAATCAATCTGGGCAAGCTCTGGCAGCGCAAGAGACAGCCAATCCAAAAGTTCCTGGGACTGCCTTGAACTTCTGCTGCGGAGACGCAGTCGCCAAACAACGCTCGAACAGTTACTATCCGGTGTCCGTTTAGAAGCCGCGTGAAAATGACCTTGGTGCTTTATTGGCCAGCTGACCCGGCCCCAATGGTCTGCTATAGCCGCGTTGCCCATGGATATTGAATCCGCAGCCATGATTAGGAGACGACAGAGGGAACGCAGGGGCGGCTTCGAGGTGAAGATGCGATGGAAATGCTGGCAAAAAGTTGCTCGGACGCGGACAGGAACTCAAGAAAGATTGACAGCTATCAGATGGGCGGACCGGACAAAGCACGGGGACCCCAAAGTCGCGGAGTGTCCGAACGGATAATAGATTTTCAGTGACAACCTCGTCTGCTCTGGACCGGGTCGTCTGGATTGGACGAATGCAAGGTGTGGGCAACCACAAGCATTCGGAAGCGTCACTCCCTCGAGAATCGAGATACACTTCCTCCTCCAACCATCAATGATGGCATCATGCCGTGGCGGGACAGCGATCAAATGACCGGAACAAGGTCCGGAAAGTGAGATTCTCCTCGCTAGCTACCCCCCGAAACAGAGATTCCAAATCGGTCCTTCGTTACGTCGGCGGTCGGGATCGTTGACCAATCCTCTCTTACCTCGCTTCTTCGTGTCTAGATCTACCTAACCGTGAACTGTTTATTTGTGTGCACCATCTTCGTCTCTACTACATAACACCTCGGGACCTGCCCCTCCTTTCTCCTCCCCTGCTTGTCCACTGTATCACAATCTCGCAGCCGCAGCCGCAGCCGCAGCGGCCCGGAGTTGATCGCGCGCATAAGCCTTAGGGACTCAAATGCCTGTTGACAAGTCGAAGCCTTCCTCTTCCAAATCGCATCTCAAACGCAAGGACCCCAATGGTTCAGAATACGTCTCCCAGAACATACCAGGCGCGAGTGGGTTGACACATGCGAGAGAGCTGGAAGTCAAGCGGAGTCGCGGTGCGCTATGTTTCACCTCTGGGTTTCCCCTGGCCTACCACTGACGTCCGCTCTTTCGTCCCCCGCCCGCAGGCGAGGTCAGTTGTGCTGAGTGCAGAAGGAAAGTTCTTGTGGCCCGCCCTTTCGTCCATGCGCACTTACCCCTTGCTCCCCGTATAGGCTGAAGATCAAGTGCGACAAGCAGATTCCCTGCCAGTCCTGCATCCGACGTGGCTGCGCGGCGCTGTGTCCGAACGGCGCACTGGCGACGGGCCAAGGCACGCGCTTCGTGCTCGCTGCGACCGAGCACCTGCACAGGAAGATCTCGCGCATGAGCGAGCGGATACGCTTGCTCGAGGACGCTCTGGGATCCCTGCATGCGGACACGGGCGGGCCGGATTCGGTCCATCCGCTGCTTCTCAAGAGCGAGGACTTCTCCTTGCCGGATGAACCACCGATGCGGCGACAGGGCTCTGAGGTCGATGACGGAGTTGGAGGGGAGGAGGGGAGCACGGGCTCGCAGACCAACGGAGAGGTCATCGACGCGTTCGGGACACTGAGCATCTCGGACTTTGGGATTTCAAGGTTTTTCGGGCCCACTGGTGGAAGTGAAGTGCGTATCCTTATCCGTGCATACTCTTTCTTTGGCTCACAGATGCATCAGAGTCTGCTGCTATCGAACACCACTCCGACTTCTGATTCTTCTGGGTCGCCTTCGTCTTATTTGTCTCGCAACTCGAAGTCGCGGTCCCCGGCTACAAGCCACACCTCCTCGCCTATCTCGCCGCCGACAGCTGGGCCGCCGAGCTCCACTTTTTCACCGGGGCACATCTCACGGCACTCACATTCCTCATCATCAGATTCTCCAACGCACTTCTGTCCGACGTCTTTCCCCCTTACTCCATTGGGCCCGTTGCCAGACATTCATGCACTAGTAACATCACATCTTCCCCGGCGACGATGCGCGATGGTTCTTGTCGATGCTTATCTTACCCAGCTAGGCTGGCTCTTTCATCTCGTCTCGGCAGAGCAGGCGCATGATACAGTACGAGCTGTCTATCGTGTTTTCCAGCCCGATGCCCGAGAAGTCCAGGACGAGAAACGGGACGAGGACGGGAGCGGCGAAGAAGACTACACGGGCCCACACGACATTGCGCTTCTGTTTTTGTTATTCGCCGTCGGGACACTGGTCTCTGCCCCAAATCCGGGCGAAGAGTCAGATGCCCACCAACAACGCATCAACGCCGAGTCGTTCCACATGCACCAGGTGGCCCGTGCTGCTTTGACCATGCAGTCGATATTGGAAAAGCCCAGCATCGTCACCGTCCAGGCGCTGCATTTGCTGAGCGTGTATATCTCGATTTCGACGAATGAGGAGGACGGCGACACGAGTATGGAGACGACCTGGAGTCTGGTCCGTATTGCGAGTCACTTGAGCCAGACAATCGGTCTACGTGAGCAGCCAGCCACCGATAGCTTACCGCAAGACCGTCTCTCATTTGCCTTTCCTAGATCGAGATAGCGCGAGATGGGGTTTGTCTGCGAAGATGAACCAGCGAAGAAGGAGAGTATTTTGGGACATCTTCACCGCCGATGCTTGGATGGTGGGCACGTATCTCACCAGTTGCGTAAAGCTTACTGACCCGTATCAGAGCATGCACACTGGTCGGCCCCCGACCTTCTCACTAGCCTATATCGATTGCCCGCTGCCGAGCTACGAAGGCGTCAATACCAGCGACGAAATCTGTGTGTCCTTTTGATCTCACCCGCCAGGTCATGTAATGACCATGCTGATGTAGTCGAAGTTTGGCAGTTTCGCTTCGCTGCGGATTGTGTGGCGGAAGTTACTGCCCGGACGCTGACTGCTGAAGCCCCCACTTACGCAACCATCATGGAGCTGGACAGGAAAGTCAGAGAGTTTCCTCTGCCGTCCAATCTGAAGGATCCATCCCCGGATGACATGGGTGCGAGTATGCAACGTTGCATCTACGAACACGTCCGGGAGACTGGTACGCTTTTGCGTCCCATGACAGATTAGGGCTGACTTGCCCCAAGTGTTAATGTACATCCATCGAAGTTTCTTTGCACAAGCGATCATCGACCAACCGGAGAATCCCCTCAAGAGCTTGTACGCGCCGTCGTTCCTGGCCGCCTATCGCGCCAGCTCGACCATTCTTAAATCCGTGAAGGATCAATATGCGGTGATGCCCACCATGTGTGCCAGATTTTGGACGATGTGGACGTTTGCTTTCAGCGCTGCTGTGAGTCGTTCAAGACGTATCCTCGCGTGCGCTTCTGATCATAAGATGTCAGGTTGTATTCGGAACTGTGGTGACTAGGGGACCACGAAGTCCGTTGGCTGGCGCTGCCATGACAGAACTGGACTCTGCGTGTCTCTTGTTCTCCAAGGCGGCAGTGTATGGTCGCCGGGCTACTCGTGCATTGGTGAGTTTCGTGTTGTCCTGGTGGCCGGCGCTCAATGATATCTTGTAGCCTGTCTTGATGAAGCTCCAAGAAAAGGCCAAGCAAGCTCTCCATGCCGTGCAGAATGAGCCTTCAGGGACCGAAACCGGCTTCAGTTGGAGTATGAGCGGAGTGCTTGGACCGGATGGCCAGCCTATGCCGATAAAAACCGAGGAGCACGACGAGCTGGCCATCATCGCCGGCCACACTCGACTGGTTTCTGGCGGCCAGAACCAGCGCAGTATCTCCCAAGCGTCATCCTCATCTTCCTCGTCGGCTTCATCAGCGAAGGCCTTCCCTTCCATCTTACCGGTGCAACCGCCGTCAGAGGAGCTGCTGCACACGCCAGAACGATACCGGCACCGACCTCCGCTGTCGTCGTATCACCAGCCGATGGACGACGGGCCGTTGATACAGTCGATGCACCACCAGCTGTCGTCCCGTGCGCCCCTGATACAGAACGAATGGACCTCCCAGGCTCGCTCGCACCATCACCACGAGCCGTACCGAGAAGAGCGGGCGTATTATCCATCCGACGGGCGGGTGTTGCCGGAGGTCACCTCGAACGCACAGACGCATTTTGCATGGTCGTCGCAGTACAGCTCTCGGCAAGCGCAGCATCCATATCATCCACAGCAGCAGCAACAGCAGCAGCAATCATACGCCGCCGATTATTCTCAGCAGCACGCACAGCTGGCACATCTCGGTATGGCATCCGGCGACTCCCGGCTGGACGACAGATGGACTTCATTCATGCAGGATTCGGGACTTATGGAGGGAAGCGGGGACTACCGCGCGCGGTAGCGGGGATGTATCTTTATTCACAGGACTGTGTTCTCCCCTAACTTATTATTAGAGCTGGGACTGTAATTGCCATTCTGTATAGTAGGATATCTTATCACCGTCTCGGTTTTAAGAGACACCCGAATCGAAGAGGATATTTCTCTCACCTGATTATGTTATGTCTCGGCATTCTGCCTTCGCGCTGACATTCGAGCACTGGTCTGAAGCCTCCGAAAGCGGCAAAACCTCCGGCCTCTTCGACAGCGCACAACGCGGGCTGTGTTCCTTCTCTCCAAGCTGGACCACAGATCTCTGAGATGACGCCGGTACGTCGGCCAGCATCGCCTGCAGCTGCGGAAGAGAGTCTGCTGTGCTCCTTGATGGATCCAGCTCATGGCCAAAATAACGACTGTGCAAAGATGTGCTAAAAACAGATATTCGGCAGACCCCATGATTGTTAGCACGGCCTTAATGGAATACTTATCGGTGTCCGTCAATTATGTGATAATGGAGAAGGGAGGATATCCAGGCGGGCCGGCGACAATATGTTAGAGCTGGTGAAAATTGTCATACGACTCAAGTCATGCTATCTCCGTCCCTCCATGCTTGTGCACCCGGCCAGCCTTCATCACAAATTCTACACGACGCACGGTCTGGCCAAAGTCGCTTGCGAGATCGCCTCTGAATCCGACAAGATCTGCAGCCCACCCCGGGCGGATCGACCCAAAAGGGACCGCGTTGTCGCCGATCGTTGTCTGCGAGCTGTCAACAGCCTCGTACCCGCGGATGGCTTCCCAGCCTCCGAGAGTTGCCCAGCGCAGGACCCATTTCCATGGCGCACCGAGAAGCACCATCAGCTCCATTTCCAATGCGTTCTGTCCGTGCGGAAAAACCCCAGTATCACCGCCACAGGCGATAGCGATGTTGCCCAGCCCTGCAGCCAGGACAGCCCGGAAGGACTGTTCAGACGCCTCCCACCCAGCTGGATTACGCTCCCGCGAGGAATAGTATGCGGCCAGGGTCGGCACCCAAACTGTTTTACAGCCCGGGCTGACTAGGGTCTTGATGATCTCTGGGCTCGTGTAGATGTCAGAACCATGCTCTAGAGAGTCCACGCCGAGCGCAAGCAATTCTTTGATCACGGGTGCCGTTTTAGCGTGCGCGGCTACTTTAATGCCCGCGCGGTGAGCGGTGTCTATCAAAGCCTGAAGCTCTTCCCTGCTGAACGTCGCAATAGCACGGCCCGCCAGCCTAGGCGACACGTCCGCTAGGCGAGATCGAATGGGGTAGTCTGTGCATCCGTGTCAGAGAGGACTGCAATGGGCATGGCTCTCTGTCACCGACCCGCATAAATCTATCTCGGTGAGAACGGCCGTGAGGTATACGACGGAGAACACAGAGACAGACCTTGATCCAATCAGCGCCAGCACCGATTTGTTTCCGCACAACTCGCATGCATTCTGTTGTTCCATCTGCTGCTTCAGCGCCAACCACGCCTTCGACCCCCTCTTTCGATGGAAACAGGGAGCTTCTCGGGCCTGGTCGCGCTGAGAACTCCATGTGCCCGCCAAGCTGGAAGCACGTACCGTAGCTACCCGTTGAAACAATCGCTCGATTCGCAGTAAAATACCTCGGCCCAGGAATCAAGGCGCCCGGGCCCGATAGACATTTGCGCAGCGCAATGTCCGCGTCCTCTGCTCCCTCGGTACCGAGGTCCCTGCCCGTCGGATCTAAGATGGGTCGTATTTACTAGGGCCGATCACGACCCACCGGACGGCGGTGTATCCTGCCATTAACGTCTGCCGCGCGTGCACGGTAGCGCGCACAGTGCGTTCCGCGAGACTCTCCTTTGTGAGCTGATCCTCCCACGACGTCTCGGCGTAGGAGTGGAGGAAGACTAGCAGAGGCGTGTCATTGTGGTACGAGCAGGATGCTTGATCGTCTTAGGGACGCACAGTGGACATGGACATCGACGAGGCCGGGGCACACCGTCAGGTGCCGCAGGTCGATCGTGTGTGGGTCGGAGAGCGCGGCGTCCGCGTACGAGGGCGTGAAGGTGTCTACTGAGGTTATCAGGCCCGTGTCGCGGTCGACGACGATGACTCGGTTGGGCAAGAGCTTCAAAAGATGCGGATCGTAGAGCTGCCCAGCGAGGATCCTCTTGAAGCTGGGTTCCTTCATTGTGCACTCGAATGCAGGTAGACTGTAGACAGCTTTGGCCGGGGCGAACGCTGAGGACCGTGCACCCTGACACGCACACGTGACCCTGCAGTACACATCACAGCCACCATCTTGTCGCCATCTCTACATCTTGACGATCTTTTGATGCGAAGCTTTGCCAACAGTTCTCGGCCCTCGGCTGAAACACCCACCGCGGCCCGCGCGACGAAAGCGACGGCGATCCTCCTTCTTCCTGGACCACATCCCGTTCCTTCACCTGATGACGGTGCAGCTGGCCCTGCTTTTTCTCTTTCTCTCTTCTTGCTTTTCATCCCCCACGTTCTTTCCCCTTTCTTTGGGCTCAGCAGCGGCATTACCACTCACTGGATCCGGCGAGACACAGACGGAGCGCGGCGTGCATGTGCCTATATACCGACAGCGCGGCGCGCGCAGCGGCGGGTTGAGGCGGCGGGCAGGGCTGACGGGTGACGTGGGACTGGGCGATTTCGTAGACATGTGCGTGTGCTCAGCTGACCTACCGTCATAGTGCTCATTGCCGTGTTCCTCGCTCAGCACATACAGCTTCTTGGTCTCGGTGGGCGGTGGCCAAGCTGTTCCGCTGGTCCTCGGTGCGCAGAAGCCCTCTTCCCTCACTGCGGTCTCTTGATAGTCCCTTCGCAGACACTGGCTCATCAGATCTTTGGGTCGCCTCGGATGCATGCACGGCATGCCGGACCTCGCTGCCGCTATTTCCTCAGGCCACCGTAGCTCAAACGGGCATGGGCGTGAATCTGCAGTACGGTGACTCGCGCACGGGCACGCATGCGAGCGGAATCATTGGCACCGACTCCGTGACCTTCGCTGGAATCACCATCCCCAACCAATACTTCGCCGCGATCAACGACACAGACACGAACGTGCTCAACACCGGGTGCGCCGGGATCTTCGGGATGGGCTTCTCGCTTAATAGTCTCATTTGGAACGAGGTGTTCACGACCCAGTTCAAGGCGTCTCACAGCGCGACGTCCGGGCGCGCACTTCTCGAGTCCGAGGCCCTCGAGCAGGATGACCTCGCTACGAGTAACTTCGGGACTCGATTTTTCCCCGACCTGAACGCGCTGGCCTCGACGAAACGCGCGACTAGCTCGGTGACGCAGGCGGTCTTCCAGTCGTACCTGCGGCAAGGGACTCCGCTCACCCGGATGGTGACGCAAAGCTCGCTCGCGATGCCCATGTTTTCTATCACGCTCCAGCGCGACACCCTCGACATCGGTGGTAATGCGGGCATTCTGAGCATTGGCGAACTTCCGACTGGAATCCAAGCGTCTCAGCTTACCTGGGTTCCTGTCAGAGGCTATCCGAATGCGCTTGAAGCACCTGCAGACTCGCCGAATGAGGTACGAACGCCGTTTTCTGGTGTTGTCCTTCTGAGAATCAATCAATCAGATCTATCCCATTGCATGGGAAGTGTTTGTGAATGGTGTCTATCTCGACGGCCAGCTGTTGCCCAAATCTAACCTAACTCCTGCGAGTATTGAACCTTCTGCGCTGCTCGACACCGTGCGTGACGAACTTCCGTCTCCATTCCGCAGCTGATTCGCCGTAGGGCAACTCTCTCATACGTGGCCCAGCCGATGTCGTCAACCTCATCAATTCGCAACTCGGATCTACGGTCTCGTGTGGACAAGCGCATATCCTCGAGTTTGACATTGGCGGAACGCGCTTCCCAGTCGATCCGCGTGATCTCGTCAGCCAGGCGACCCAAGAGGCGCTTCCGAATTGTGCCGTGAATATCGTCCCCACGGACAGTCCTGTTGAGGGCCGAGGATACCAATACAGCTGGTCTCTCGGCGACCCTTTCCTCAAAAGGTGCGTGGGGAGGATGGTGACCGAGATTAGAGCTGATCGTCCGCAGCGTGCTGTCATCGTTCTACTTTGGGAATATCACGCACCCCTCGGTAGACGAGCCCCGTGTGGGGCTGATGTCGACCGTCCCGCCTGACGCTGCTGCGCTTCTCCAAGGTGCAATTTCAGATGCCATCATCCAGCATGGCAGCAACGAATTCAGTGCGTGTGGCTTTGCTTCGCAAGTCTCGCACTGGGACCTTCTGATGTTTTGTACAGCGACCTCGAACGGCGCGCCTGCTGCAGCTCCGACTGGGACGATGGGCGCGAGTGGCATTCCTGCGTCGTCTGTGGGCAACATTGACGGAGGGAAGACGAGCTCGGCGAGGACACTCTACCGACCTCATCTCATAATATCGCTTTTGACACTGGTGGTTTGTACGATACTGTAATTACGTGGACTCGGTTGTCTTGTCGCTCGCTGACGGAAGGGTCATGATACGTGACGGCTCCGCTTGGGCTGCTTCGTGTGCTGGGAAGCTTGCGGTTTTTTCACGCGACAACTGGGTGAAATGCTGTGGCATGATCTATAGATCACGCTCATTGGAGATCGTTCTGCTCACCTACCCTCTCTGAGCACAGATGTTGGTTAATGGCCAGTTTCCCAGATGTTGCTTGAATGGGGAGTCTCGTGATGTTTTGCAGCTGGAGGAGAATCTCTGGCGGTGATGATAACCATCACTTTATCTCGGAACAAGGTGCAAAACTATGTGCTTGACCCACCATCTCTCTGCACCCGAGCGTCCCTTGACATCAGAGATCTGTATAGCTGCCAGTTATGCCTAGTACGTCTCGTTTGGAAGATTCAGTACGGCGGGGCGGTCATGGCTGCTGATGGCGCGGTCACTGGTGTCGGTGGGCAACCATTTTTGCTTTGTAATTGATACATCCACTACACTGTAATACAACACTGTGCCAGAATCAGTCCTTCCTTCTATGTAGTATGGTGTGTATGACGCGGGGTCTATGCAGCAGAAGCGCGTCCGAAACGAACCCAAAGTCCTCCCTGATGATGGCCACAGTCAGACATATTCCACAAAAGCAAGACAGGATACTCACCTTCACATAGAGCGTCATCGCAGCTGCGGGCCAGATCCTCTCCACCGCCTGTCTCCCCGGACGCTGTTTCCACTCGGGCAGCGGCAAGGACGCAGGCGGCTGGACGTCGGGCGCCAGCGAGAACGTGTCGAACTCCTGGAGCAGCCGAATCAGGATATACGAGGCTTCATTGTATGCGTAGTTCTGGCCCAGACACTGAGCGTTGCAAGGTAAGAATCCCATCCGGAGGAGGAAATGGAAGCGAGCAAACGCACGATTCGCGGACCAGCGCTGAAGGGCGCGTACATCGTTGGGTTGCCCACAAAGCGCGCCAGCCGTGCGGAGTCGAGCCACCGCTCCGGATCGAAGACATCCGCATCCGGGCCCCAGAGCGCGGGATTGCGCTGCATCAGGAGGGGCAGGTACATGAGCGTCGTGCTTCCCGGCATGTAGTACGGTCTCGTGTCATCCGCGGGGAACGTCGGATCGCTCACAGGCAGGGTGCATGCTTCGGCGCGCGACTCTCTGACGTTGAGCGGGACAGGCGGGAACAAGCGAAGGACTTCGTTGATCACGGCGCGCACTGCACCGGATGAGCACTCCCGGTCGCAGACTACGGTAGCAGACAGCACGCACTGTATTTCATCTCTCGCACATTCTGGTATGTCGGGGACTGCTGCGGCCCGCAATGCTCCAAGACTTCCGCGCGGAGCTTCTTTGCCACATCAGGGTATATGGCCATGAAATATGTCACAAATGTGAGCAGGCAGGCCGTCTGAGAGATCCAAGTTAGCTGACAGAACAGCGAGATCAAGGAGGGCCCGGACCGTATCTCGAGATGCTAGCAAGATGTTGAGCAGCTGATCACGAATAAGAGATGTGTCTGATTGGTACTTATCAGCTCCGAGGTATTAATGACGAATGGAAACATACCATCAGTGCTGTCTGCGAGATGCTGAAGAAAGGTCTTGTCCGCCACCGGACTGTTGATACCAGCGAGCCGACGCTTATCCTCGACTGCTTGCTGGACAAGCGGATCAAGCCATCTGATGCATCAAAAACGTCCGTGAGCAAGCCAGCGTCAACACATGGACAAGTCCATACGCTTGAATGACCGCCGCGTTCGCCGCGTTCTTGTCTTTGAAAAGCTCGAACAAAGGCCACAAGTGGCCTATCCTCCCCCGTTGCGTGGCGATCAACTGCGACATCTCAAACGCCTGCGCGAACTCGCCCCAGCTGTCGTGCGTCGCTGACCCCTTCGGGCCCATCCCTGTCTGTCCGGGGATCGGTAGTGCAGACGAGAGTGTGTCGAGGTTGCGTCCGAAGAGGAACTCGGATGCCGCGTCGAGGGTCAGCCGGGAGAACAGATCCTGCGCCTCACAGGGCTGGCCGGCTGTGGTCAGCGAGGAAATGACGTTCAACGCGCGTTTGGAATGGGTTTCAAAGATGTCGAAGTCGGAGATCCGCTCTCGCGCGAAAAAGGGGCGAGCCATGTTTCGATGCTGGAGGTCGAGTCAGCCATTGCAGTTTATCGCACAATGCAGATGCGCGCACCATCTTCCAGACTTCATCATCACGATTGAATATCCCCTGACATGTCTCGTAAGATTTGATGCTAATGCGTCAACCGCGATCTGTACACACCTGGCCGAGGAACGTCTCCCTGCGGCAATGAGCATGACGCATTTGGATAGCACAGAAAACTCACATCCTCTCCTTCTGCACGTAGCCCCGCCAGAAGTTGCCTGGGAATGTTCATACACAACACAGGCCAACGCAGCGACGCGCAACTCACCGAAGCCCGTCGCCAGCACGAACTTGGAGTGCTGCTGATCCATCGTGATAATCTGCCGCGCTCTCAGCGCACGCGAAAGGAGTCGGATTGAGGGGCACCTACATTGTCACGCCACAGGATGCGCAGATTGAGCGTCGTGCACTGGTACTCCTCGAACAGTTCGCGGTACACGTCCAGCACGTAGCTCGTCTTGAACGCGCCCATCATGCGCAGCAGGACGTCGATGTTCCCCGGCCAGCGGCCGACCACCTGCCGCACGCGCTGCGCACCGAGCTCCTCGGCCGTGCGCGCGTGCACGCGTTCGCGGTAGACGTTGTAGAGCGTCGCCCAGAGGACGATGGACGCGAGGTATACCGCAGGGGCGAGGATCCACCCCACACGGACGTCGAGCAGCCTGAGTGTAGACCAGAGGAGGGCTGTGGGGAGCAAGAGGGCGTGCGCGAGATCGCGCAGAATGCGCACGCGATACTGGCCGTAGGATTGCGGCGAGTGCATGTCGATATCGGGGGAGGGGGCGTCTCGGAAGCACTATCAGACGCGGGTTTTTATACACGGCGCCGGAAATATGTAGACGGAATACATTCTGCGGTGTGAGAGAGACTACGAGCAGTCAGACGTCCGAAGCAGAGGCTACTGGAAAAGCATCTTCCGCAAGCCCTTTTGGGTCTGTGACGTCACACCCGGCACTGTCTTTGTCCCGACCGACAGCAGAGTAGCTCCGCTGACTTTTCCCCGGACCTCTTGTCTGCCGACCTCAGCTCGCTTGCTTCTGGTCGAGTTATTGATGTCAGGTCAATTCAATGATCACTGTTGCGAATTCCCGAGCCTTCCTAGCATCACCCCTCCGCCACTCAAACTCTGGCACTCCTGGGACTTTTCCCCGTCAGAACGCGATCTTGATGGACGTGGAGAACGTTCTCTGTTCGGGACACAGTGCAGAGGCAAAACGACACCGCGCCCCCGACTTTAGCTCGAAGCAGCTGTGATGATGCAATAAATGCCGTTTGTGATGTACTCTGGACATCGTAAGCGCTGATAGTCCAAGTGCCATTCGGGCTGAGGGCCCCGGCTGAGAAATCCAGGTCGGCAAGTGTTCTGCTCCGTGAAGATGGGTATCGTCTTCCAGCACTAGGGAAGGTGTGGCTCAAGTCGGATGCAACGACTTCGGAGATCATATGTGCCCACTTATCAGACGCCGCAGACCCCATTGCATCCGATCAACATGCTGACATTCCACTAAGTAGTTACTCACTCACAAGGTGCTCATAATCTGGAACCTACAATTCGCTCATTCAACAGAATTCTCTCGGGATGCGCTTCAGACATCTTCCCGATCTCATCACTAATCTCGCTGAATCCACCTTCTCCCATCCAGCGCTCGAAGACATGCCAGTCCAGTGATGCCTGTTCCGCTGATTCATTGGCGCGGGACCAGATAGCGTGTTCGAGCAGATATGTCGAAGATGCAAGCAGGGCAAGCATCTGAAGGATCGGGCGTTGGACAAGAGAGTGTGTATGCGCCAATTCGAATTGAGAGGGAAGCATGTCAGCCCCATGCCGGAGATTGTCCGCGGGCTGTGATGTTCTCATATCGCTTGGAGCGGAGGCGATGATATCTCTACACCACTGATTCATCCTGGTCAGATGGGTTCCCTCGAAATTGTGCAGCGCACCGTGACAAAGAACTGGACAGCGTCTTTTCCTCGGGAGGCTCGCATCAGATCATGAGCGAGAACACCCACTGTGCCCTCCCAAATCTTCTCTACCATGGCATCGCGGATGAGTCTATGCGCTTTTCCTTCAGCTCAGATACTCGTAGACAGTGTGTACCGCCACGTACCTTCCGATGCCTAATTCCTCCATGTAACCCTGACCGCCCAAAGCGGCCATGCAGTCTTCCATCGCTGTCACACTCTTCATCGCGGAAAAAGCTTTCAGAGTGGGCGTCAATATCCTCAAACGAGCCTCCTCGGATCTGCTGGCGGTCCCGCACTCGGACTTTCCCAAAAGAGACACGACACCGAATAACAGATGCGTCAGTGCCCGATAGAGCAGGCCCACTCGCGCCAGAGTCTCCATATGCGCAGGAACCGTCTGCAGCAGCTTGTCCTTATCCACGACGCGCACTTGCGCGTACGCCCGTGCCAGTGAGAGGCACCGCATCAGCGATCCGACGCCCGAAACCGACGAATGCACACGTGTGATGTTGAGCACGGGCGCGATCGTGCGCACCCCCGCGCCCGGCGCTCCGATGAGCCAGGCACGCGCGCCATTCAGCGACAATTCAGCCGTCGGGAGCGCCTTGGTCCCGAATTTATCCTTTAGGCGATGCAGCAAGATGTTATTTGAGAGCGGAGTTGGAAATGGCCCGAGCCGAACAGGGACGAGGAAAAGGGACAGGCGCTGGGATGACGGATCACGGCCCAGAGCGATGGACATGTTCCCCTCGGCTGCGCTGGAGAACCACTTGAAGCCATCCAGCTGATACGCGGGTCCGAGATCGGAGGACTGTTCATCCGAGACGGCCTGAGCGGTGGTTTCGGTTCTAGATACGTCAGACCCCCCAGGCGACTCGGTCATCCACTGCCCTGAGGTGTATGCTGTCTTCGGGTCTCGACTGATGTAGTTGGTCATGCGATACAGTTTCGGGTGAACAGTGGAAGAACGGACCTCATTAGTCGGGGCAGGATCTCACGCTTCATCTTCTCCGTGCCCGAAATCTCCATCACTGCCGAGCAGATTGAGCGCATACGTTTCAAGAGGAAAACAGACAGCACCTCTCGCCGCTCCATCTGTCATAGAATACGGACATAACACCTGCCCACACTGTCAGCTGAAGTCCACGCACAAGGCTAGATGGACGCACCACGTGGCAGTCCGCCACCATTAGCACGCACTTGGCAAAGCTCCAGACCCGGCTCTGGTCTCCGAAACGGCGTTCGTAAGGGATGCTGATCACACCCTCCTTGCACGCGAAGTCCTTGAGAATCTTCCATCCTTCGGAGACCTGCAGCACGTCCACGCGATTTCCCCACGCATCGTACTGCGTGAGGGTGGGTTCTTTCACGAGCGGCGCAATCGGTCGGATCTCTGATGTGTGTGCGTTTGTACGAGTGCATTCGAATCGCATCCTGGAAACGCACCGTTCACAAGCTCGTCACCCAGACGGACCAGATCCGAGTTCACGACATCCAACGCACTGGGGGTGCAATAAGCACTAGTTGCTGGGTGAGAAGAGGCGAGTGATTCTCACTCTTTCGACAAAAGCCGTCTCAGCAACTTGGGAAGCACCGGGTCAGTCAAGTATGGATTCCCCGTCTGCGGCGGTTGCTGAGGGTGATCAGGGGAGAAGATAAGTAGAGCAAGGAGTGGCTCCTATTCACCTGGTGGAAGATATCTTCGACGCGCATAGTAAGTTGTGAATGGGGCACTCATGGGAACGCGCATCCAGAGACCTGCAGCTGATTATTGTGGGGGAAACGGGCCGAGGACTTCCGGTGACAGGGTAGGAGTCGGAGTGTAAGGCAGCGGACTAATTTCTATCGAGTCCATCAATGCCGTGACCAAGCAGGAGAGTGTCAGACACGGGAGTTACGCTACTACCACAGTCATGTGATTGGACACTCAACTTGAACTCTAGTAGTAGAACGCAGCAAGTTGAGCTCACATTTCAGAAACCACGGTTACATGTCTTATTTGGTTGTCCATGTCCCGACTACTCGAGTATCGGCAAGCGATCTGGATTCTCAAGCGGACTTCCGATCCTCTTCGACATTTCGCCTCACTTTAAGCTCCGGGCAGAAGCGCCGCAGCACGGAGGAGTATAGTCTCCCTCGTATGCAGAAACCATGTGGAACAAGCGTATTGAGCTTCCCCCCGTCGAGAACCCAACTATAGACGTGGTTCAGGTCTTGGTACTCAGTTTGCGACTCTCAGTTGCCGAATTCGTGGTCGACTCGGAATTGGAAGATTCAGGGTACGATTTACTCTTCCTATTTCTTATCGAATATTTGCTTGAGGTCCTGGATAAATTTCAACATACGCTGATGGGCGGTCAGAAACCCCGAGTGAGAGCAGCGGATGCTAAGGATACGATGGATGCGTCGCGCTCAGAAACTAGTCTTCTTTCTCGCTAGTGTATGCTAAGAATCCGAGTTGCAGCCAAGTCACTTGAGATGACTTTAAAGAGGATTGGCGCAGCGCCAAGTAGTGTGAGAAAGGTAGGAACTGCTTCTCCGTTCACTTCGTTCGCATAGGTTGTCGCAGCCGACTACGCTACACAGCGGAACCACCATGTCCTGAATTACTGTCTGAGCCTTCTCTACACAACCAAGACGTGATGGCCCTGCTGTGGAAGGATCGACAATATGATATTCCTGTCATGTTGCACAAACGATGGAACATTGACTAAGCGCATCCTGCTTATTGACGTTCCCAGTCGCTTGTCGATCTTGGTGAAGAGTGTATGTGACATCTACCGTTGGCGGACTACGCGAGCCTTCACGCAACCGGAGAGCACACATCGGAGAATCGCCCACAGCTCTGTTCTACCGCCCGCTCGTTCAACTCAGCGCAGTCTGTGAATCCTGTGGAATCTTCCCGTAGCGCGTTGCAGCATGGGAATGATTTGCACTGGTAATGCTTCATTCAGGATCGCATGAGACGATGTGTCCTGGATATAACACCTTCTGGCAGTTCTTTAAGCACGCGCTGCGACGCTTGATCTCCTCTTCACACGAGGGCAAATGATGTCGAGCGCCCGAAGCACCGAGCACCGCGATGAAGCGAAGGGTTTTGTGGAAGCAGGCTGCTCCGATTCAAATGAATCGAGACTCTGGACAAACCAAGCATAGTCTTCCACTCGACGTGCAGCCTTCCGATTAGTATGTCTGAGTCAATCACTCACACAATCCTTCGATGTCCTCCAATATCTGCCACTCCACGCACCAGCTGTGCAATTTTGTTCGGCCGAGTTCGCTACAATCTGATCAACCCAATGTATAGGCCAGAAGAGCCGTCTCGTCTTGAGCACCGGCAAATCGACCGAAGCGATAGTCCGCATTGGTCTCAGTCAGGATTCTCCAAGAAGGACGTCTTACCCACCTTGTATCAAACAGTGTAGGTGCGAAGAGGATGTGCTCTGTCCAAACATCTGCTTTTGCCATAACAGGTGGTGAAGCATCCCTGACACCGGTGGCAGTGGCCAGGGTGCACAGCCGAGAGACATCAGTTGCATTTTTCGGACATGGCAGCAGATGTCAAGAGTCTGGGGATCATCGGGCACAGAATGGCTTGTTCGACAAAAAGAATCTCTAGACACTTTGCATTCGGTGAGGCCGCTCAAAGCTTGCTCCGTCCAACCACCCCAGCCCCAGAAACCCAGTCCACCGGTTCCCCGCGTCCCAAGCTCTCATCCTGCATGACCAGACTGTGCATTCCATCCACGACATGGCTCCAAAACTCCATCATGAGGCCCGATGGGACACAGGCATCGTCCCAATTCATACTCATCAGGAACCTCCCAAAGAACAGTCGAGTCCCGAGTAGCAGTCCACCGGGTCCTTTGCGGGACCCGCCAGTCCCGGTCTGGATACGTAGTTCGGGATAAAGATGAGGCCGATAGGTAAGGCCCACATCACCAGCGTGCGTGACCCCGAGAAGAGCGAGCGAGGGGGGCGATACAGCCTTCTGCTTGATCACCGACGGCAGCTCTAATCCATCGTCTATCCTCGCCCACATCTTGGCTTTCTGAGCCCGGGCTGCAGTTGAGAGCAAGGATCGTTGCAGCAGATACGGACTCCGCGCATATCTGGCCACTTGTTTCTGGGCAGACCGCGCCCTTTCCCACAGGATTCTCCGTTCGTCGATGTTCCGTGGCATGAACGATGGCAGCACGACGTTCGTGTAGTCGAGCGCCAGCGACAGATCGACGTCCGAAGTCAGGTGCCGCCGCAGGCTGACGGCAGTGTACATGAGCATCGGCAGCGTGCGGTCCGCCCCGATTTCTGGATGCGCTGCACAAAGCCGGATCCACGCCCAGTTGCACAGGGCGAAAAAGACATTTTGAGCGGTGGTCCCATTTGCTTTGCAGTTCTTGAATATCTCAGCAGTCTGTGCGTGGCTGAATCGGATCTGGATGAGTCGAATATTCGTCCGTGGAGCCTTGATCCGCGGGAACACATGAGCACCCTTGGAAACATCAGTTTGTGGAGGTGAGCAGTGCGCAGACCTACAATAGATCGCCGCTGCACATTCAGGTAATCCACCTTCCATGCGGCAGCCGCCAGCTTTCCCATCCCGAGCCCAGCTATCCGGGCTTCCGTCGCAACAGCGATCCCCCCTGCGCGCCAGCGCACATCCCACTCACGTTCCAGCAACATCTGCAGCTCGTCGTCCGTGGTCCCCGCTCCACCCAGAAGCCGAAACATCCCATCCATCATCTGCTGCACGCCCAGCAGGTCACCTATCATGTGCAGACACGAGAACATGATGTGGTATTCGTGTTTCCCCGACTCGACCTCGCCGTGCCGCACGAGATCCAGACGCGCGAGGCAGTCTGAGGACAGCGTGCGCGGGCCGTTGAGGAAGTCGGCGATAAGCTGGTGACCACGGATGTCGTCCCGGATGCGTAGAGACGATGTTGCTTCGTGGAGGGCTGACGACGGACTGGGCGGGGGCGTGTATACAAACTCAGCCTGGTCGTATCGCCCAGGCGGCATCTCTACCCGGCATGACAGAAGAGTGTATCGCAGCCGCGTGATGGTCCAAGCGATGTGGACACGGCGGGGCGACATCGGTGCTGGCGGCGCGTGGATGATGACTTGCGCTATACGCATTTTTAGCAGATGTACAGCGAAAACACAAAAAGTGCGCACTAAACATATCGTTCAATCCACTGGCACGACTGGGAAGAAAGTACGACCTGGTGAGCGTGTCAGAGCCGCACTGTAAGACTGGGAAAAACACTCACAGCTCATTTGGACTCAGCGTGCGTCGGAAAACACGATTCGAAGCGGCATTTTCAGCTGACGCGTCCATTGGAGGAGCAGGTGAGAAGTGACCAAGGCCACAGGGGTCGATCCATGTCCTCCTGTCTCAATTAACGACAACCGATGTCAGATCAGGTGTTTCCTTCTAACGCTAGTATCGCATGGATAACCCCATTGGATTCTGCTGCATTTCAGTAGCCCTATCGCGTTGTCGAGGTCGATTTCGAAGAGTGCGGGACGGTGGAGGACGGGGAACTGGGAGGAGTGACCACGTCACACCGTCACCAGTAATGCCATCACTCTCACGTGTAACTCTACCACGGTTCATCTGTGGGAGAAGAATGAGCTGCGATGTCGATTTCACGGCAGCGAAATACACCAAAGAAGGTGGAGGGCTCAACTTGACTGATTCTTGAGCATCCTGATTTACTATCTCTAGAGATGCAACTTCAAAACTCAACTTGTACAAGTTTCCGGTTCTGGAAAATGATGTATCGAATGTCTCAGCTAGAACCCTTGTTTAGGTCAGTAAATTCATCTCAATATTTCCCCGCAAGTCGAAAGTAAAAGCAAGATTTATTTTCCGGCGACTTGAGTCAAGTCGTTCCAAGTACTTCCGAAGCGCCACGTGATACAATGTTCAGCAAATCTTTCATCCTATAATTACATACACACTATCCATCACAAAAATTCAGTACAAAATCACACGCGTGCATGTCCATGCCACCGGCCGACTCAGCCTCGACTCGAGAGCAGGATCTACACCAGGGTGAAGCCTTTACTCCGGGAGAAATCGACGCCGTTCTTGAGCTGCTCGAGGGTCAAGAATATCAGGATCGTCGTCGGCTGCAGTCGACTCCAGGCGGGCACCCAGCCTTTGAACATGAACATCGGTCCTTCGGTTTGCATCGCAGTGCGGATGGCAGCCATCGTCGACTGCACGTCCATCCAAACTGAGATCATCAACTTCACCGGTCATGAATAACACTCACAGTAGATCCTGGGCCCGAAGCGTTCATGATGCGGCTCTGGGATCGTGAATTAGCGACATCCGGATTACAAGGTCGGCTGCTCACCTTCAGCACGTCGGCTGGAGAGCAAACCGTCGTAGCCACAGTCCCCTAAAGATAGGGTTGAATTCAAGACACGCCTCTTGCGAAAGATGGAAAACGCACTGCGGCAAAGCTAGCAGTGAAGTGACATGCAATGTTGTCATCAAAGTACGCCGTCTTCAAGAGTTCCGCTTTGAAGAAGTCATATCTACGCGCAGTGCACTTAGAGGTATTCAGGAACAAAAAGTTCTACGCACGACGCCAATTGACTAGCATTCATGAGGATGGCACGGAAAACGTTCGGTCCGACGCCCCGCATCAAGGAAGAGGTCCCTTCTTCCCGAACCATCTATCAGACGCGTCGATTCATGTCATATCATCAGCGTAACGAAAAGACCCCACCCTGAAGAGAGCGTCGAAACAGTTCTTGTAGTTGAAGCGCTTCTCTGGAGGTTTGGCGAAATCCCCTTGTAAGCGGACCATCACGATTTCTGCCCAAACATATCAACAGAGTTTGACAAGATAGTACGCAGGCTGCGCACCTCCCGGGTTGCCCACGAATCCGGCAATCCCACCCGCTGTAAATCCGCGAACGCGATCAACTAATGATGCGCCTCAAAGTCAAAGTTGAAAGCGAACCCATGCTTCCCGCAAGAGCGAGTTTCCAAGCGGGCGCGTCTTTCCCAGCACCGACGATCTTCTTGCTCTCGTCGTATGCCCAAAAGCGGCACAGAGAATACGACATCTGGCGCATCCACGTCCCAGATATCCCGTCAAACAGCCCTCGTGTGCCTAGTGCGCGTCGGAAGACGCAGGGGGAGGGATCAGCAAGCCCGACGCACCGGCCGTTCTATACGTCTTCTTGATGCTCTCTATCATCCTCTTGTCCCCCGACGCCTGCAATCGGACCTTGGTCAAGTCCAACGGACTGCGCACATCAGCTATCGCGATCAAATCCGGGTCCACGCGCTAGACGTACTGCGTGATCGACGCTGCGATGGTGGCGGCCACTCCTGTGGCGACGATTAGCCCCGAGCAGCGAGCGAGCGCGCGCACGCGATGGGAAGGACGGTACCTCCGAGCCAGAACGGGTACGGCTGCTTCTTGAGCGGCAGCGGCGCATCTGCGGTCGATGGGGCTGGCATGTTGGACGACCTCTATGGGGTGGAGGAGCGTGAGGTAAAGAGGATCGACGGACGGTTAGCCTTGGCGTCTAATGGAATCCCCAAAATAAGGGTATAGATGGCAAGCAACGCAAGCAGGAAGAGGGAAAGCGAGTGACCGGCTCCGGTATAAGAGTGCCTGAGAGAGCGTGGCCCAGTCAAGGGAGGGTCCGGAAGCGGGGCACCCAATTGAGTGTCAGGTGTCTGTCAGGTGATTGTCGTCAGTTGGTCGTCCCTGTCTACCCCGCATACGTCATTGCACAGCTTTCTGGGGTAGAAATGGTTCTGCAGATTCTCGGAAAATTATCGAAGATTCGACTTCGATGCCAAAATTTCTGGGGAAATACAGAGGCTCGAAAGCCCAATTTTTTCTTGCCTCGATTGCCCAAGATAATCTCATGAAGGAGAAATGAATATAGTCAGTCAATTACCTAAAGGCCACCCGACATTCTCCGAACTATTCTTAATCTGGCTACATGTGTTCCCATCCGCAGCTTCTCGAAGCGGTTGCCGGATTGAATACACTCCCACAGCACGAAATTTCGTTGCTAATTCACAGCTTCTTCCCGAAATCACCCGGTACTCGACTTCGCCTGGAGCGATCTACCTGCGACGAAGAGCCCTGTGAGAGCTCACATGAGCTCTGCTGATCTGCTGATGAAGATAAGATAAGATTGGCCCAAATCGATTAGATATCGATCGCTCTTACTCTTTCCTCGGTAGTGTCATCCACAAGCTTGTCAACACCCATAGTCGCGGCGCAAACAAATTCCCGCAGGTTCGGATTCCCTGTCGACAACTAAATCGACCGCTTCGTGGTCGGTTTCCTGTACCACAGAATGTCAGTACTGGAAACACAGATCCGAGGCGCGACGTGCCTGGAATCGAAAGAAACAAGAGGCTTCAGATAACCCACGACCGTAAGGTGGAATAAACACCACTGAGGACCCACCTCTTGTAAACGGCAGGGTGGAAACTGGACTCACAACTGACGCCGCGATCTCAACCCAGAAATTCGGCTAGGATTCGAGAAGCGCACGATTTGTGGCTCGTTGCATCGCCAAGCAAGCTAGAGAAATCTGCAATGACGGGATTTGTGGCACTGAACTTCGAGAGCGGGATAGCCCTGGCGGGGCGGCGCATTGTCGGATCCAGAGTCCCATGAATTTGTAATCGAGGGGAAAACACGGTGGCGAAACATGAGGGAACGGTCGGTCCGATTACGCCATCATATAGCAAATCGCATCGGAAAAGCTAATCTCGGTGTACGAGTTGGAGAGATTCACCGGAAGTTCGGAATCAGATTTGTTTCCTCGGGCGTCGCTCGTCGGGTAGAACTCCGACGACAAGGTTCTTGTCGGACGACGGACGAGCAGGGTTTGGTTCCCGGGGCCTATCTACCGTGCTGTGCTGGTTGTCAGCGATTACGCGCTTCATTCAGGAAGTCATCCTTGCTACGGTGAATTCTGTTGGTATATCATTCAGTCAGCCGTAAGTCTCGGTGGTACAAGCTGAGGGTAGGCACCAACACACGGCTGAATACCGCTCATTTGACCGCGACCATAAACATCGAGGAAAGTCCGGGGCCAAGAATAGCGCAGCACGCTAGGAGAAGGAAAGAAGACTACGACGACGACGGCGGCGGCCGCTGGCTCGCTCGCCGCATCCGCAGAGAGATTGCCTAGAGAACGGGTCTCAGAGAGCCACGCGACCAAACACATTGCAGCGCATCGTCTTGTTGCGTGGCTTCGCGACGGTTCGAAGAAGGGGGCGCTTATTTGGCCCCGACCTGTAAAAACATACATGCAAAACATTTAACTCAGCGCCGAATCGCTTACCAGCATGGGCATGCACGAGCGCCTCGCTACCCCCTTCCCATAGTCTATCAGATCAAACCGTGCTCGTGCTCGACGCAATCGGCTCCGCGAGTTTTTGCTCGGGAATCGGAGAGTCGGCCTTCCAACTCCAATTCCAGGGGCATGACGAGAGAACGCTTAGCGATTCGTGCGTGATCAGCAGGCCCGTGTGGTCAGCATTAGCAACACTGACGCGCCCCGAAGCGGCCCACCGAGGGTGTCGTGCGGATACGCGAGCGACAAAGCTTGCGTTGTGAGCACGGTTGTACGTGATTTCAGGTCCCAAGTGACAAACTCGCCACATGCAGGCGCGTTCCGGCGCCTGGACGCGATAGACCCCAGCAACACCCGCCCGGGCCGGGCGCTGAAGTCGGAAGGTAGGTCCTGGATTATACCCTCCATGCGTAAATCGGTCAACTCTGCGTAGGGCTCATTTATGGAGGTCGAAAACTACATGCTGATAACCGAGTCTATATATCAATGATACGCCTCGGCAAGTGATATAAGATCAAATGTTGAGTGATTGCGACCCCCGGGACCACCTTCTGACTAGAGCATAAGTTCAAACGATGTATGTAGTAGACTAGAGCATAAGTAAAAACAACGTTTTTAATTACCAATCCCCGTCTGCTACTAAATCATCTTCCTCGTCCGAAAACCATGCATACAAGCTCTCAGGCTCCTCTTCGACAGGGCCGAGATCTGGCTCAATTTCATTGAGCATTTCACCGAGTCTTGCATAATGTTGGGGATCTGAGAATAAACATTGTCAGAGACGGATGCAAAAGCTTCGGAGGAAGAGCACTTGCCTAATCCAGCACCCTGATTGACGCCGCCCATGTACGCGCCAGGCCCAACAACGTCTTCACCTCCTCGCAGCTCCTTCAGGTTCGGGAGGACCTCAATCTTGTCTGGATACTCGTTGGACGCCATTTCTAATGCCCGGGTCCAGTGTGCGCTCTGATGCATCACGTGAAGCTCATTGAGCTTGTTGAATTCGGACAGTAGTCGTCGATACACCTCCCAACAGCTCTTCCGATTAACCGGAGGCTCTCCAATGTCCCGATATATCTGGGAGATGAGAACCTCGAAATCCAATGGAACGAGCTGGAAAATCTCGTGGTCGGGAGGCGCATACATGTCACGAACCTTCTGAATCCCGACAGGATCAGCTTTGATCTGAATTGAACAATTTAATGAAAAATACAATCCTTTCAGTGAGACCATCCACGTACCTTGAAGTCCAGAATTGCGTAGTCTTCGGGAAATTCGAACATGTGGCTGGGGACACCATTCGGAAGAATTTTGTTGCGGTCATGTCGTTTGGCAGTATTATTGACGCGATTTCGGTAGTTGTCTAGTTCTGCCTGTAGCCACGGAATAAAAACCCAGCGGAACACGAGACTTGAGTGAAAGTTTTCAGCATCAATCAAAGGAAGATAATCGGAGATACTCACGCTTCAAGAAGAACACCAGGATCATACCATCCTTGATTCACACCAAAATCGAGGATATCCTCAAAGCCTGGTGTGAATCAGCGACGCATCTGGCTCCAAGTAATCTCTGGCTTGACATTCTTCTTCTCGCGCATCCAGCGATGTTGTGATGTTCCAACCAGAGAGGGATCTTGATAGTGTCGAAGCTGAGTGTGTCCGTTAGCAAGCCCAACGTTCTCTGAGCCTGGATCACTCTGAGACACAAGTGGCATAACTTAACATGCCAAATAATGAGTACAGGTGCGATAAAAAAATAAATTGGGAATCACACCTAAGGAACATCCGCCGCGGAGGGTACCCCCCCCTGTTAGGGGTCAAAATTCGACTGATTTGGGTACCTAACAGGGGGGGTACCCTCCGCACTTTTGGCCATCCTCCGCACCAAAACCTCCGCAAATGGGTGCCAAGCATCCGCAACAAGCCCTGTAACCAGCTGCGGATCCATCCGCTCCTGGCTCTCCCCGTGATCGTTGTGATGCCATCATGCAGGCCATCCACGGACCATGTCATGTGACTGTTCTCCAGTGCGGAACCCTCCGCATTTCTTGCTCTTTTATTTTTTCAGTTCTAGCCTGTATATATTGCTTCACTGTGGACTTGAGCCTTCTGTAGCCAATGTATGCAAGTGCTTTTGACTCCCAAATGATTATAGCTGCTTCAAAGACCTCTATGTGCAGCAAACAAAGAGTGTTAGTTGGGCCAATTCAGTGCTTGGGCTGTGCGGATGCTCTGCATTGTTTCTGGATTGCTAAATTGGTTGCTCAGAACCTTAATGCGTAGGATAAACATAGAACGCAAGCTTCTCAGATGTTGCCAGGTTCCTTAGAACCCAGGTAGGCCTCTCCAGCACCCACAGCAGCTGAAACGTGCGCCATGCGGATGCATCCGCCACCTGCTGTCCAGGGCCAGATTGGGGCAGGCCCTGTTCAGTACAGGCTCTGCAGACAATTCCACTTGCACAGCTTCGCCTGCCATGATCAGTGCATGCAGCCAGGATCCTCCTGCATTGACAGCATGCTGTGCAGATGCATCCGCCCCTTGCGGTCCAGAGCCAGATTTCAGCATAGGCTCTGTGGATGGTTCAACTTGCACACCATCAGCTGCCAGGCTCCTTAGAACCCAGAGAGCCCTTGCCAGCACCCACAGCAGCTTAAAAGTGTGCCATGCAGATGCATCCGCCACCTGCTGTCCAGGGCCAGATTGGGGCAGGCCCTGCTCAGCACAGGCTCTGTGGACAGTTTAAATTACAGACAATCACCTACTATGATTGGTGCATGCAGCCAGGCTCCTCTCACATTGACAGCAGCTTGAGAGCATGCTGTGCAGATGCATCCGCCACCTGCTGTCCAGGGCCAGATTGGGGCAGGCTCTGCTTGGCACAGGCTTTGTAGACAGTTAAAATTGCACACTGTCAGCTGCTATAGTCGGTGCATGCAGCCAGTATCCTCCTGCATCAACCACAGCTTGAATATGTGCTGTGCGGATGCATCCGCCCCCTGCGGTCCAGAGCCAGATTTCAGCACAGGCCCTGCAGACTCTTTGGCCTGGGGTCGCCCTCTGCATCAGAGCTCTGCAGATCCAGCCCAATCATCTGCATGCAGGCTCTAAAAACATCTGCTGATCCATCCGCATCTCATTTTACTGGTGATGCCCTTGATGGCATCATTTTGGTGCATTGCAGATGGTCCTTGAACATCCGCACAGGGATTTGATGGGTCCCGCGGATCCATCTGCACTCAAAATAATCTTTGCAGGCCCTGCTTCTTCTATGTGAATGGCCTGAAGAGCCTCTGAAACATTGTTCATCTGGTGCACAAATGGATCTGCACATTGGAATGGGGGCTGTGGCTCTGTCCCACAAGCCAATCTTATGCAGCATATATCTACTGACATTTTAGCCAGTGCACCGAGCTCCAGAGGCTCTGGGGACATCCAGAGCACACAAGGAAATGAACTGCTGATGCATCTTCAGCCAAATTGGCCAGCTAAATATGTGGCTGCTGCCCAGACAGCCCAAATACATTACATCACTTGAATGAATAATGCTATTGACCAATACAATTCATTACACAATTTCTGGAAGGGATATTGCATGGAATTTGATATGTAAGCAAGCCAAACAGTGATTCTCCTATCTGCGGATGCTATTTCAACCATCCGCAGAAGCATCTGCAGCAGCTAGTGACATGGTTGCGGATGTGTCACATGACCCTCCGCAGTCTCTTTGTGGGACATATCTGCTCAATATAGCCTCAATGGATGTCCTCTGTCTCTGCAGCATGTATCTAAGATGTCTTTTTTGCTACCTGCATAGTTCTATCAACAATAGGAAATTTATCTGTCCTGCACAGGATTTTAAATTCTTTGCACCATAATTGTTGCTCATATACAGGTCGGATAAGCTCAGCTGTCCCACTAGGGAAATTTAGATATGCCCCATCTCGAATATAAACTCAATTCAGCTCACTGAGGAAAATATTTTTGTCATGCAGAAAAGTGCCATGACCTGAACACAGTTTCCTATGGTAGTACTGAGCTCAACCTGCTCATTGACCAAAATCGAAAATATTTTTGATCTAAGAGACTTTTTTGAGCTCAAAACATTGAATGCTGTGTCTTAAAGTCTTGGCCCTTGAATTGCAAGACATGTATGAATGTGTAAAGCTTGAAATATGAATCATGTTCAATTCACTTTTTTTATATTGTACAGATAGGTTCTTTCCAGGTTCAGTGTCTGCTGGCTTATAGCTTGTCTCTGACAAGTTTCGATTCCCTAGTGGGACAGCTGAGCTTATCCGACCTGTATATGAGCAACAATTATGGTGCAAAGAATTTAAAATCCTGTGCAGGACAGATAAATTTCCTATTGTTGATAGAACTATGCAGGTAGCAAAAAAGACATCTTAGATACATGCTGCAGAGACAGAGGACATCCATTGAGGCTATATTGAGCAGATATGTCCCACAAAGAGACTGCGGAGGGTCATGTGACACATCCGCAACCATGTCACTAGCTGCTGCAGATGCTTCTGCGGATGGTTGAAATAGCATCCGCAGATAGGAGAATCACTGTTTGGCTTGCTTACATATCAAATTCCATGCAATATCCCTTCCAGAAATTGTGTAATGAATTGTATTGGTCAATAGCATTATTCATTCAAGTGATGTAATGTATTTGGGCTGTCTGGGCAGCAGCCACATATTTAGCTGGCCAATTTGGCTGAAGATGCATCAGCAGTTCATTTCCTTGTGTGCTCTGGATGTCCCCAGAGCCTCTGGAGCTCGGTGCACTGGCTAAAATGTCAGTAGATATATGCTGCATAAGATTGGCTTGTGGGACAGAGCCACAGCCCCCATTCCAATGTGCAGATCCATTTGTGCACCAGATGAACAATGTTTCAGAGGCTCTTCAGGCCATTCACATAGAAGAAGCAGGGCCTGCAAAGATTATTTTGAGTGCAGATGGATCCGCGGGACCCATCAAATCCCTGTGCGGATGTTCAAGGACCATCTGCAATGCACCAAAATGATGCCATCAAGGGCATCACCAGTAAAATGAGATGCGGATGGATCAGCAGATGTTTTTAGAGCCTGCATGCAGATGATTGGGCTGGATCTGCAGAGCTCTGATGCAGAGGGCGACCCCAGGCCAAAGAGTCTGCAGGGCCTGTGCTGAAATCTGGCTCTGGACCGCAGGGGGCGGATGCATCCGCACAGCACATATTCAAGCTGTGGTTGATGCAGGAGGATACTGGCTGCATGCACCGACTATAGCAGCTGACAGTGTGCAATTTTAACTGTCTACAAAGCCTGTGCCAAGCAGAGCCTGCCCCAATCTGGCCCTGGACAGCAGGTGGCGGATGCATCTGCACAGCATGCTCTCAAGCTGCTGTCAATGTGAGAGGAGCCTGGCTGCATGCACCAATCATAGTAGGTGATTGTCTGTAATTTAAACTGTCCACAGAGCCTGTGCTGAGCAGGGCCTGCCCCAATCTGGCCCTGGACAGCAGGTGGCGGATGCATCTGCATGGCACACTTTTAAGCTGCTGTGGGTGCTGGCAAGGGCTCTCTGGGTTCTAAGGAGCCTGGCAGCTGATGGTGTGCAAGTTGAACCATCCACAGAGCCTATGCTGAAATCTGGCTCTGGACCGCAAGGGGCGGATGCATCTGCACAGCATGCTGTCAATGCAGGAGGATCCTGGCTGCATGCACTGATCATGGCAGGCGAAGCTGTGCAAGTGGAATTGTCTGCAGAGCCTGTACTGAACAGGGCCTGCCCCAATCTGGCCCTGGACAGCAGGTGGCGGATGCATCCGCATGGCGCACGTTTCAGCTGCTGTGGGTGCTGGAGAGGCCTACCTGGGTTCTAAGGAACCTGGCAACATCTGAGAAGCTTGCGTTCTATGTTTATCCTACGCATTAAGGTTCTGAGCAACCAATTTAGCAATCCAGAAACAATGCAGAGCATCCGCACAGCCCAAGCACTGAATTGGCCCAACTAACACTCTTTGTTTGCTGCACATAGAGGTCTTTGAAGCAGCTATAATCATTTGGGAGTCAAAAGCACTTGCATACATTGGCTACAGAAGGCTCAAGTCCACAGTGAAGCAATATATACAGGCTAGAACTGAAAAAATAAAAGAGCAAGAAATGCGGAGGGTTCCGCACTGGAGAACAGTCACATGACATGGTCCGTGGATGGCCTGCATGATGGCATCACAACGATCACGGGGAGAGCCAGGAGCGGATGGATCCGCAGCTGGTTACAGGGCTTGTTGCGGATGCTTGGCACCCATTTGCGGAGGTTTTGGTGCGGAGGATGGCCAAAAGTGCGGAGGGTACCCCCCCTGTTAGGTACCCAAATCAGTCGAATTTTGACCCCTAACAGGGGGGGGTACCCTCCGCGGCGGATGTTCCTTAGGTGGGGAATCACATACCTCCAAGATTCTCGATCACATCAAGATAGTAACTAAGAATAAGTCGAGGATTGTTATTGTTCCACCAGATCCTCATCCAATGAATGAGACCAAGGAAAGGATCGATGCCGGTGTGAAGTGCAAGACCGAACTTGTACTTCCACTTGTCATGTTGGTCTACAGCCCAGATATCATTAGCACCAGCAGCCCAGAAGCGCTTGCGTTTGAAATGGCGCTGTCGGCGTTCTCGGACTAAATCTGGCTCATAGACACGAAAATAGTGCATCACTGTCTCACTACATGATGATCCATCAGGTCTGGGAGAGCACCAAGAAATTTTTGACGCACCGTGCAACCCGGATGTTCTCCTCATGAAAGAGGAGGCTGACCATCTCTCGACCTCCAGCCTTTGGATAAGTGATGCGAAGTTTGGAAATCGGAGTCACAATAGATTCAACCGTGTGACCTTGTGCTCGAGCTCGAATATACCCCAACTTTTCACGAATTTTACGGAACGATGCGATTCTGAGTTGAGTTTTAGAGAAAAAAATTCGCAAAATTCTTGATAAGATAATGACTCACTCCAGTCCATACTTGGAGAGATCAATATGATGTTTCTTGAGGAGAGCAAGGATAGCAACATCGGACTTATTTTGCTTCCAGTACTTAGCAATGAATGGTTGAAGGTCCTCTGCAGGAGCTAGAGCGCAGTTCGTCAGATTAACAACACAAAAATCATGTATATAGATATAACACACGGATGGGCTTGTGCTGATTCCGCCCCATGGCAGCGTGGTCTGAGATGACAGAACAAAGAGCAATGTGACGACAGTAGGAAGAGTGGGATTAACCTGAGAATGCATGAGTATAATGTTCAGTCTTTATAATGAGCTAGCCTCGCCGCAATCCGGATCTATGAAGTGCTCAGGAGAGGAGCACTTCACAGGCAATCGGGTGATTACGGAGAATGGGAACGGGGAATGTTAATGATGTATGCATGGCAAAAATGCCGCTCGGAGCATACAGGAGAATTATTGGTCTCCAAATGATGGAGGCAAGCACAAAAAGTATATCTGAGCGCGCATAATCTCATATTATCTGCATGTGTTGATCCGTAATGATCTTCTGCCTATTTTTATTTATTTTCACGTTGGTCACATCCGGATGTTGAGAGATATCGGGAGAAGTCGGAAACGAGGTCAGAGGTGAGGCATGGACCATAAAATGTGAGAGAGATATTCACTTCAGGACCGTGGTCAACTCGCCTTCCTTCCAATTTTCTTCGATGTCAAACGCTGGTGTGCTCTACGCCGAATTCACCGATGATGCCACGGTTGATATTCCTTTTGAATGTCGATCTGGCCGTCGTTGCAAATCGACTTTGCGCACTGATACTGCCAAAGGTCTCATAGTCATGCCAGGCCAACCCCGATTCACAGTCGAGAGCGCATCTCAGGTATCAGGCAGCCGGGTTGTTTGTGAAGCATGCTATGTATATTATGATGGGAAGTGCACCAGTACACGAGGAGGTACGCTTCTCAGTTGACAAATTTTCTTTTCTGATTCTTCCTACTTAGCACCAGGTCCTTCAGCAGCACGTCCTCTGCTGCCGCCACCTGCCACTCCAAACCTGGAAGCTGAACGAGAGGCAATCCGACGCCAGAACATTGAGGGGAGGCTCGGTGGTATGTGTTGGCTTTTATTCGATGTATTTCCCTTCTGACATCCAGCAGACAAGTCTCTTGGAGGTCAAATTGCCCCCATTGGCGCTGGTTTGATGGCTCCTCCAGCAATGATTCCGCAAAGACAGAGTAGTGGCTCATCAGGTTTGTGCATTTTTCTTAACCAAACCGAATCTATCAAATGTTTTTATTTATTTCTAGTCCCACGAATTTCTGTGCCTAATCAGTTGGCGGTTGGTCAACTGGCTGTGGCTGCTCCAAATTCTGCTGCGGCTGCTTCGCAGTTCAACAGTCAGGGATATTCCTCTGCACATGCTAGCTATGGGTCTCAATATTCTCTGTGGGGAAATATGGCCTATTCTGGTCTATCTCGGGAGTTTCTCACATTAAATATTGGTGTTCGCCACGAATTTCCTGGGAAACCAAACGGTGTGGTCTTTGGGGTATGCAAAATTGTCCCCCCTACAAGTCTCCTGCACTGATTTTGCTTCTAGACTATCAACAAGGGCAAAAACATCAGTGCTCAAGCAACAGCAAGTGAGATCATCCAACTTGTGCTCGAAGTTGGTGGCGGAAAGCTTGCTGCCCAAATTGCAGAGGAGACCGCTTCTCAGTTTGTGTTCAACACCACTACTTTTGTTGTGCGCCAATTGGAAGGCTGGATCAACATTCATGAAGAGCCGCCGCACCAACCACTCCTGTATCACCGTTACCTCAAGCTAGGCACAGGCAAAAAACAGAATACCCTGGACTTTCATCGTCCTGCCAGGGCGCTTGTTTTTGTCCTTGTCATTCCTTACAAGGAATGGCAGCGCTTCCTCAATTTCCAGGAGGAGCAAATCGAACAGAGCGAGTCCAAAGGTAGTTCAATTAATCTACAGGTAAGTCCGTTTTCTCAGAGTACAAAGTCTGGTTGCTTATCCATTTCTTAGGCTGAATTTACTGAAGCCACAGAGCCTCTGGTCACTGAGCCTGCACAGTCCAAATCACGTATGCAGACTCGTTCGCAAAGGAAATCAAACTCAAGGACGACTCAGACAGTGGTGCGTCAATTTGAACCATTCAGTATTTCACCATTACTGATCATGAGACAGCCTCGGTCATCCATTCGAACTCGATCCATGCAAGGATCTGTCTCTGATCAAACTCGGGATGTCCAGTATGAGCTCTACAATGCAGAGATCATCTCCCAAAACACCAATGACAACTCTGTAAGTGAATCATGGCCTGAAGGTACTCATACTGACTTATATTTCTACTTTACATTAGATTTCTGCTGATACTCCTTCAAAAAAGCGCTCTGCCGAATCTGACATCGAGGAATTTCAGCCCTTGGACAGGCAGAGATTGCGAAATGCTCTGAATGCTGGCGGTGCCTCTGTTACTGTCTCCAAGAGTGCTCGTGAGTTGATTATCTTGATTAACTGGTCACTGATGAACACATTTTTCAGCCATTCACACATCTGAAACAATTGAGTTCTTCCGGATTCGCCCCAGCGGTCTCCAGGATTTGCTCAGGGAAAATCGAGCATTCAAGATTGAGATGTCCGCAGCCGAGGGTGGTACTTTGGCTCTAAAGCCATCAGCATCTCCTCTCGGTGTTGGAACATTCAAATCTGCTCATTCTGCCTACCTGACACTCACCCGACTTTCGGATACCCCATTGGGTGCCTCCCCTGGTCAGCATGTTGCGCTTAAACGCATGTTCAGGACCAGAGAGACGTTGAAGCGATTTGACCCTGTGAACGAGTATGAACACACCATTTCCGAGGCTAATTTGCTCTTCTGGGGCACAGCCATCCTTCGTTTCACCATGGGTGTCAGGGGAACCCCTGCTTTCGTCCGATCATCATGGGATCTCGCATGTGACCGCGCACGTGCCATCTGTCAAGCGTCACATGCTTCGGTCCGGACTTCCCTGCCAAGCGCGTCCACATGACACTCCGGCCCGCACCCCCATTGTTCCGACGGTCCGGCTCCCATTGTTCCCCCCGATCCGGCCCCTCATTGTTCCCTGGCCCCATTGTCTGGCGCTTCCATTGTGCTTGGTCATCCATTGTTCTGTAGGCTATATATAGTGGGCCCTGACAAGGAGAGTCCCCAACTCGGTTTCTCTTTGGACTCTCCCTTGTCAGGTTTGCCAGTCTCCTGTACTAGTCGATCCCCTTATCTGACGCTTTGGACTCTCCCTTGTCAGGACTCTGAGATCGGGCCTCGAGGTTGCCCTTACAGCAGAAACCGAGTTCCTAGGGATAACTGGACAAGCTTGTGAAGACCGCCGATAGCGTCATACGCCTCTCACTTCCAATCTTGTCCCCTCCTCCCCCTCTACGATCATCATGTCCTACATGGAAGAAGAAGACCACGGGTCCTCCCCTGAGCAGCGACTTGGTAATCTAGAGGAAGCCATGCAGCGAATAGAGGGACTCCTCAACAACTTCATAATCGAACAACAACAGCCTGCCCCTGCCCCTGTCCCGTCTCCGGCAGCGGGTCCAGGTGTATTTACTGGCCAAAAGGCCAGCTCGAGACCCCTCATCCGCCCCAATCCCCCATTCGCGTTTGACGGAGATCGCACCCAGGGCAAGACGTTTCTCCATTCCGTCAAGCAGTACTGGCGCCTCCTCCCTGAGGCCTTCCATGTGAACGGGGTAGTATCAGAAGAGCGGGTGGTACGTTTCGCCCTCTCCTACATGTCCAAGGACTCGGCGGCCTCCTGGTCAGAACGCATGTCAGAGCGCCTCGTCTTCCCGTTTCCGACCTGGTCCTCCTTTGTGGCCGAGTTCAAGCTCCGGTTTGTCGAGGAGAACGAGCAAGACCACGCCCTGGCACGACTGGAGACCCACGCTTACTACATGGGATCCCGCGACGTGTTCAAATACACGGACGAGTTCGACGACCTTCTCGACTTGGCGGGTTACTCTGACAACTTGGTCAAGGTCACCAAGTACCGGGCGGGTCTGGACCCCAGAATCAATCAGGCGATCACGACCTCCGGTAACCCGCCTAGCCTCACAAACTACTCGGAGTGGCGTACCCGCGCATTCCGCCAGTACAACGCCGAGGTGGCTGCCCGAGCTGCACGAGGACAGGTGTTCTCTCCATCCCGCGCTCCGCCTCCTGCGGCCCCCCGCCCTCGCCCCGTGGCTGCTCCGGTGGTTGCTCCACCTCCTGCTCCCCGACCAGCCCCAGTAGTCCTCCCACCGGGCATTCCCATGGAGATCGACCGAACCAGAGCCCGCACCGGTGTTCGTCGCACCTGCTTCCGATGCGGCAGCCCAGGACACCTGGCCCGAGACTGCCCGACCCCCGTGGATGTCCGGCACGCTGACGTCCTGGACGAAGTGATCAATCAGCTGGGAAGCGACCTGTTGGCGGAATTAGTGGCCCGGCTAGCGACTACAGCGGCTGTAGAAGATCACGAAGCAGAGATTGCCGACGAGTTGGAGCAGGGTTTTCTCCCCCGCGACGAGTGAATAGTACGCCCTCGATCGCCTCACGTAATCGTTTTGAATGTCTGTATGATGAATGCGACCTCATTTCCCCCGCAAACGAAACGATAGACGTACCCCCTGCCCCTCGCTCTGTCCCGCTGGTCCGTAAGGAAAAGTGGGAACGAAAACTCCCTCAGCGCTACGTGGTCGCAGCCTCCCCCGGCGCCAACTCCCTGCACCTCCCCCTAGAGATCCAGTCCACCGACAACGCAGTCCAGCTCGCCCTCAACGGACTGGTCGACTGCGGCGCCACGTCGGACTTCATCGACTCCACCTACGCCTCCGAAAACCGACTTCCGGTCCGGCAGCTCTCCCAGCCTATCCCAGTCTACAACGTGGACGGCACGCCAAATGAAGCCAGCTCCATCCGACAAGTTGCCGATGTGGTCCTGCGTTACCAAGGACACAGCGAGCGTGTCCAGCTCGCCATCACTCGGCTTGGCAAGCAGAAATTGATCCTCGGCTATTCCTGGCTTCGGAAGCACAACCCGGAGATCAATTGGGACACCCAGGAGGTAAAGATGAGCCGCTGCCCATCGGGCTGCTCCACCTGCACCGAGGAGTCTCGCCAAGAGAGACGGATAGCCCGGATTTCGGCCCGAGCACTCCGATCAACCCGACAAGGCCCTGTCCCCTCCATCTGCGTCGTTGATATTGAAGACCGCGAAGACGAGGCTATGCCACTGCTCCAGGAAGACGACGGAGAAGATTCCAATGAAGAGGAAGACTGTCTGAAAACCGGTGACCGTATCTTCTACACCCGTTTCAACCCTTCTGAAGACATCCGAGCCACTAGCACCGTCTCCCAGCGTCTTGCGGAGGCGTTTGCCAAGAACTCCGCCCCCTCTCGAGATTCCATACCTGAGTGGGCGCGCGAGTTCGAGGATGTTTTCAGCAAGGAATCCTTCGACAATCTTCCGGAACGTCGCCCTTGGGACCACGCCATCGAACTGGTGCCCGATGCAAAGCCAACAAACTGCAAGGTCTACCCTATCTCCCCCTTGGAGCAGAAGCAGCTCGACGCCTTCATCGAAGAAGGCATGGCCACCGGCCAAATCCGACCCTCGAAGTCCCCCATGGCCTCCCCCGTCTTCTTTGTCAAGAAGAAGGATGGCAGCCTACGGTTTGTCCAGGATTACCGGGCACTGAATGCAATGACAGTGAAGAATCGGTACCCCCTCCCCTTGATCAACGACCTGATCAACAAGCTCAAGGGTGCCCGCTTCTTCACCAAACTCGATGTTCGATGGGGCTTCAACAACGTACGGATACGAGAAGGAGACGAGTGGAAGGCTGCGTTTCGGACCAACCGTGGGCTCTTCGAGCCACTGGTGATGTATTTCGGCCTTACCAACTCCCCTGCGACGTTCCAGACCATGATGAATGACATCCTCCAGGACCTCATCCTCTCGGGCGACGTCATGGTGTACCTGGACGACATCCTCATTGCTCACTCCGATCCTCACCTCCATCGTCGTATTGTGAACGAAGTCCTCCGGCGCCTCCGCGAAAACAAGTTGTACCTCCGAGCCGAGAAGTGCGAATTCGAGATGGAGTCCATCGAGTACCTCGGCGTGATCATCTCCCACAACCACGTCGAGATGGACCCCGTCAAAGTGGCAGGCGTGGCCGAATGGCCGGCCCCCTCTAACAAGAAGGAAGTGCAGCAGTTCCTTGGGTTCACTAACTTCTACCGGAGGTTTATCCGGGACTTCTCGCACGTTGCACACCCGCTCTTTGACCTCACCAAGAAGGACGTACCATGGTCTTGGGGCGACAACGAGTCCACTTCGTTCCAGGCCTTGAAGGATGCAGTTACCTCTACGCCGGTTCTTCTCCTCCCAGACTCCTCCCGTCCTTATCGCCTAGAGGCTGACAGCTCCGATTTTGCCACAGGAGCCGTCATCTCGCAGCAGTCCCCCTCAGACGACAAGTGGCACCCAGTCGCCTTCTTCTCCAAAAGCCTTAACGACGTCCAGCGCAACTACGAGATCCACGACAAAGAGATGCTCGCGATTGTGCGTGCGCTGGAGGAGTGGCGGCACTTCTTGGAGGGCGCCGAGTACCCGGTGGAGATCTGGACCGATCACAAGAACCTGGAGTACTTCCGCAAGGCCCAGAACCTCAATCGCCGGCAAGCCCGATGGTCGCTCTACCTATCCCGCTTCGACTTCACGCTCCACCACCAACCCGGCCGGCTCATGGGACGACCAGACGCACTCTCCCGACGCCCGGACCACGGAGCCCCTTCGGACAACACAGACGTTACCCTGTTGAAACCGGAACTGTTCCATGTGCGAGCACTCGAAGGACTGTCCGTCTCTGGCCCGGAAGCCCCGCTTGTCCGCGACATTCGGGAATCGCTCTCCGGTGACCCTGACCTTGAGGAAGAACTTGCGCTTATAGCGCGACGGCTTCTGAAAGGGATGAAGGGGGCCCGCTCCGCTGTAGCAGCGGAATGGCGCATCCAGGACGGCCTCCTCTACTTCCGTGGGAAGCTGGTGGTCCCGCGTGACAAAGACCTACGGCGACGCATCCTTGAGCAACATCATGACACCCGCGTTGCGGGGCATGCTGGCCGCTTCAAGACGCTGGAGCTGGTCTCCCGGAACTACTGGTGGCCCCAGCTCTCACGACATGTTGGCCGGTACGTGGCCACCTGCGACCTGTGCTGTCGGACCAAGGCCCTCCGACGACTCCCCACCGGAGAGCTTCACCCCACTGAGATCCCCTCGGAACGTTGGGAATCGGTGTCGGTGGACTTCATCGTGGAGCTGCCTGAGGCGCACGGCTACGACGCCATCATGGTGGTCGTTGATATGCTGGGGAAGCGTGCCCACTTCATCGAGTGCCACACTCGCCTCTCGGCCGAAGGGATGGCTCGGTTGTTCTACAAGCATGTCTGGCGACACCACGGATTACCCATCAAATACGTCTCGGACCGTGGCCCTCAGTTTGTGGCAGACTTCACCCAAGAGCTATGGAAGCTGGTTGGCGTCTCCCCTGCCACGTCCACCGCTTACCACCCGCAGACTGATGGCCAGACCGAACGGGTCAACCAGGAGTTGGAGCAGTACCTCCGGATCTTCACCAGCTACAAGCAGGACAACTGGGATGAACTCTTGCCCGCAGCTGAGTTCGCCTACAACAACCACGTCCACTCCTCGACCCAGCAGGTTCCCTTCATGACGGACACAGGACGTTTACCACGCATGGGATTCGAGCCAACAGAGCAGCGCTCCACCCGAGCAGAGTCCGCCAATGAGTTTCTGGACCGGGTCGCATCAGGTGTAACCGAGGCTAAATCGGCACTTGTCAAAGCAAAGGACGAGTACAAGAGGTACTATGACCGACGAAGGACTACTGCTCCCGACATCAAGGTTGGCAGCCGAGTCTGGCTCGATGCCTCAGACATCACGACGACGCGACCCTCTCGCGGCCTCTCCCACCGACGCCTGGGCCCCTTCAAAGTCACCCAAGTCGTAGGCCGGGGCGCATACAAGCTCGCCCTCCCCACCAGCCTCTCTCGCCTCCACCCAGTCTTCCCTGTGGTCAAGCTCCAGTTGGCCGAAGACGACCCGTTCCCCACTCGCCCGCGTCATGAGGAACCACCCCCTGTCCTGGGACAAGGCGAAGGAGAGGAGTGGGAAGTGGAGGAGATCCTAGACGCAAAGATGCGCTACCGGAGTGTCTGGTTCCGGATACGATGGAAGGGCTACGACCCGTCTCATGACCAGTGGGTCAAGCACTCCGATGTTTTTGCTGACGACGCAGTGGCAGCGTTCTACCGCAGATACCCGGGAAAGCCACGCGTCATTGGAGCAGCTGTATTCGACTCGCTACCCTTCAGGAACTCATCGGCCCCTAACCGTACCTTGCGTCGAGGCGCCGCAATCAAGAGGGGGGGTGATGTCAGGGGAACCCCTGCTTTCGTCCGATCATCATGGGATCTCGCATGTGACCGCGCACGTGCCATCTGTCAAGTGTCACATGCTTCGGTCCGGACTTCCCTGCCAAGCGCGTCCACATGACACTCCGGCCCGCACCCCCATTGTTCCGACGGTCCGGCTCCCATTGTTCCCCCCGATCCGGCCCCTCATTGTTCCCTGGCCCCATTGTCTGGCGCTTCCATTGTGCTTGGTCATCCATTGTTCTGTAGGCTATATATAGTGGGCCCTGACAAGGAGAGTCCCCAACTCGGTTTCTCTTTGGACTCTCCCTTGTCAGGTTTGCCAGTCTCCTGTACTAGTCGATCCCCTTATCTGACGCTTTGGACTCTCCCTTGTCAGGACTCTGAGATCGGGCCTCAAGGTTGCCCTTACAATGGGTTGGATTCACAATTTCATTGGCAAGTACGGGGCACCGCCCGATGACCTTCCCATATTCGACATTCGATTTGTAGAAGCTGGAATTGCCATGGTTCATGAAGCTGCGGCAGCTGGGAGCTCTAGCAAGACAATGAGTTCTCTTCGACGGACCTACCTTCTAGAAGAGCTCATTGGAACAGGTAAGGAGATTTTCACAGTTAAAGCCTCTGCCTTATACAGTTATTTTCAGGCAAATTTGTCAAATACATCAATAACAATAGTGCAACTCCGGTTGCATCTCTCAGCCCTGATAGGCGTTCTCTTGCAGAGTTCCTGTGCTTCACTCAACATGTTCAATATGAGCAAACGGATGGTCTTGTTTTTCTCTCTGACCTGCAAGGTGAGTATTCTGGATTGGATATATATTCACGGCTTGGTTCTAACCCACCTTTTACTAGGATCCGGTGCTCTGTTGACTGATCCGCAGATTATGACATCCCCGTAAGTCCTTGAATGACCCGGAACTCCAAACACTGCTTGAATCTGCTTAGTTCCCTTGATGGTGGCCTCTTTGGTGGAGGAAACTACGGAAAATTCTTTGAGCAGTTCCCTGAGCAGCATGTCTGCTCTAGATACTGTGAGTTTTTCAAGTTATCTTCTCTCCAAGAAGATTAGCGAAAGTATTTGGGCAATGGGTATATTATTATGGAGGGAGACTCATTCTCCCCCGTAAACTCTATATATGTTGACAAGCATTGAAACGCCCTAAGTGATCAGTGGTGTGGCTGTGACGCATTAAGGTGCACAGCATTTGGTGGCTAAACGCTACGGGGTCTCTGATGTGCATCAATCAACTGTTGATCACTTCATCATGTCACCTGTGATAGATGTGCGCCGCGTATCAGCATGTAGTTTTCGACCTCCATACTCATTACTCGCTAGAGGAATCTTGGCGACGGTGCACTTGGAGAGAGAGACAGAGATGCTAACGCGCATGTGACGATAACAACCACCCGGCAGCATCGGGCTTATTCCCTCCCTAGATAGTGATGAGCTGCTCCTCGAACATTTTTTCTGCCAGAACTGTGGATGACCGCGCAACCAGGGCCTTACGTAACACAGCCTGATAACGGGTCATCACAACACGCGCAAAGCAGATGTCCGATTCGATCCGTTCTCTTCTCTTTCGGCCGGGACTGGAAGCAACTACCGAACCAGAGCATGGCGGTGGTCTCGTCGCAACGCCGATCTATTATCTCATTACTCTCTTTGTTTCCCGGACATCCCGGTCGCTGCGTTCGACGCACCTGAATCGATCCGAGAACAGCCTGTCGGGCTAGCAACGTTTTTGTCCCCGGCCCACCTCACCCCATGCAGTTGACGATGGTTGTCGTCGTCCCTTACCTGCCGGCTAGTGACGTTTCCTTCACTGCAGAGCTACAGGCCCCGCACGCAGCACCCTTCTGATGTGTGTTGTTCTTGCAGCGGCTTGTGTGAATGATGCGGTCGAAGGGATGGTAACCGTTTCTAGCTCAGGCGGCCTATGAAGGGCGGTCGCAGTGCCCTTGTTTTCTATCCTGCTCTCTCTCGCTCTCAGTCCTGCGCTATATATTTCTATTATTCCACCGTCGCTCCTTCCATCCCGTCCCATGCGTTCCTCGATGCCCCGTCCTCGATCGCTCCAGCTCTCTTCCAGAGCGTGCGTACATGCGTCGTGCAGACCGCAAACACGCAGCTCACCGATATCTTTCTTTTGCAGTCCCCCTTTCGCCAAGAAGCCCCACCGCGTCACCCAAATGCTCATCGTCAGAAGGGCGGCACGGACGAATCAGCATCGCTTCACACGGTGCGTCTGCTCACGTCCGGGCATCTCCCCGCGCTCACACGACCGTGCCTTTGCCAGGCTCACTACCCGGAAAGTCGCGCGCGCGACGACGGCCCCAATGCACCCCTTACGGAGACGGCGACAGGGTGAGCTGTTCCCGCTGCGATCCGTCTCTGGTGCTTGCTCATCACTGCTCCCCAGCCGCCTCCCCCCGCCCGCCATCGCGCCGGCGTTTCCGCGCAGACACGATCACCGCAGCGTCCCTGTCGCCCATCCTGCTCCCGCAAATCCCCGTGCTGCCCAGTCTCTCGCCCACGCAGTCCGAGCCGGACTCGGGCTACTGCTCGTGAGTGCGCGCTGTCAGCCACCGTGCGATCTCTGACCGAACCGGCGCGCATTCTAGCGAGTCCTCGGTACCGCCGTCCCCCAGCCGACGGCGCTACATCAGGCCGGTCTCCGTCGCGCTCGACGGCGACCTCGCCGCTGTCGCTGTCCGTCTCTCAGCGCTACCTTCCATCCATGTGCTGTCTCCATTGGATGACGATACCCTCTTGTGTTACTACTAGCCTATTACTTATCTCCATCTGTGTAACTGTAGCCCGAGAGCAGCAGCATCTGCCCGGACGCCCACGGGTCGTGCTGTGAACTCATCCATCTATGTATCCTTGCCTACAAATTCTAATCAGAGCCGTGAAATTGAGCTGGTGCTTGCGCTGTGATGCGCATCAATCACATGTCTTTCTTGCCAACCAACATTCGACGCGGAGTCCTCGGGCCTGCTGCCTGACTGGCTTCCGTGTCCGTGTCTGCCTTCAAACTTCCAGGTGAAACCCCGCGTGGGACATATGGGGTTCTCGGAAGCGTGAGGTGTGTGTCGAATGTCCACACAACACAACAAAGACGACAACGCTCGCGTCTGGGGCCTGCACGTCTGTGTAATGTCAGCTGCTGCAGTTTCAGCAGCGCGCATGTCTGTGACACTGGCACTGGCCTAATTCACGTTCACGTTTACAGTCACATTCGTGCCTCGAGTATCAAAGTCGACTTGCATACGGAGACGGCACTACTTGCTTGATAGACGACGCGGATGGTTGTCCGTGCACAACGTACGACATCCATGCATTCAACTATTATACGTTTGACCGCCGCAGAGTCAACACATGACTGCAATGTAGATGTCGTCGACCCCTGCACTGTCCGTCCGTGACCCTGGATCTATCAACGGATGAGGCGCCCTGGTACGTCGATCTCGAGACTCCTCTCCCCGCGCACATCACGCACTCTGAAACGCTCCAGCATCTCATTTTCACAAGCCCCACGAGCAATTGTTATCCGAAATGCATGCTGCATACTATCGGGTATCGATAGGCGGGAGATCATGGGACTTTGGCTCCCGGTCATTCATTTCATCTCCTTGATGAGATGCTGCTAACAGTCTGCCTCCCTCGCCCTCTTGCACCCATCCTGAACCTGGGTCGATCACTGAATGGGACGCGGTACTATACGTCGATCTGCAGGCTCCCCATTGGCCATCACGATGGTTGAAACGCTCCGGCATCGCATTTTCACGAGCCTGGCATTTATTATCCGAAATGCATGTCACCAGGCGTCGATGAGCGGAAATCATGGAGTTTGGGCTCCCGGTCATTCATTCGCTTGGTGAGATGGTATTTCCGTCGCCGTAACATCCTGTCTCGAGATGTTGCAGCATCCGTTGCACCCATGGACGATATTGCACTCCACTCCACTTTCCAACCACGATCTGTAAATCTGGATCTACTTACCAGGAAACGGGGCTCAGGCACGCGAACGGACCCTCATCTGTTCTGATAACCGCTTGCTCTGTTGGCGGAATGTTGACTGTGAGAAGCCGCCTGAATGGGCCCGTCTCGTCATCGCACCGGCCTCGACGGCGATTCATTCAAGGCACAGTTGAGTCATGTCAGTCAGCCCCGGACTTTCCGTTTTGGATCTCCCCGGGGGCTGTACTCATGGCGTGTTGAAGAACTGTCTGCTGCAACCCCGGTCTCTGGGGATCTCGGCATTCTGCGCTCCGGACTTGGAGTGTCCGGCCTAGGAATGGCCAGTTCCCCGCCAATCACTTGTTGTCGAGTTCAGACTCGTCAAGGCCACGGATAATCGCCGATCGGGTCGCCTGATTGCTCAAATAATAATACATTCAGTCGCGGCAGGAGCATATCGTACAACAACACACATTCGCAACAATTACACCACTACACGAGGGGGAGCGCGCCATCTAAAATCGAGTTCTGTGAAACAAACAGTCAGCTGACTCGATCTCCAAAGCGCGCCAATTGCACAACTGACCCATTATACAGGGGTGGCCGACTGAAACGCGATCAATCAATCTCGGATACACCGCCACGAGCGAGGCAGAGGACGGACTGACTAGTGCACCGGGCCACTGTGCGTGAAATTGTCGTACTGCGGCGGCGGCGGGCGGTCCGGCGCAGTCGACACGAAGAACTTGAGCGAGCCGGACAGATCGCCGTACTCCTGGCACAGCTGGAACAGCCGCGTGTCCGTCAGCGCGCCCCCGAGCGCGAACGCGCCGACCTCCGACTGGTACACCGAGAAATACGGCTGCCGGTCGTCCGGTATTGACAGCTGCGGCGCGGGCGTCAGTCACATCTGATCGGCGGGCGGGCGGACGGACGGGGATGGATCAGGGATCATGGGACGCACTTTGGAGAAAATGCGTTCCCGGATGGACGCACCGCTGCGGGCGCCGGTGACCTCGACGACACAGTACTGCTCGCCGTTCGAGCTGACGATGACGCGTGTTGTGGGGAGCATAACAGGGAAGCGGCGCGGAAGGACACGAGGTTGAGAAGTTGACTGACAGACGCGTCTTATATATGTGGGTGGGAGCAGCAGCTGTCTGGAGATGAGCAGTACACACGACGGACGTCGATCTCTGCCCCGGCTAGTCGCTGCTGCAGGGCATTTATGCCTGGGGACTGCCGCATCATGATCCCAGATGCTATCACGATTCAGTCCCGAAACGGCAGCGGCCCCCCAGCCCGATCCTTACCAGGCCCAAGCTAGATGGATCCCAAGTGCGGTGGTGGGGTGCGCCTGACTCTGCGGTGGATTCATCAGCGGATTATCCACGTCCCAGAAGATGTTCCTACGCATGGTTTCCAGCCCATCGATCAGTCCGCCGACTTGTAAGGAACTATCGCGAAACGCTGTCCCATCGGTTTGAGATTGACGTTTCAGGGATCAACATCAGCATGAGGCGTGCCGTGTCTGGCTTCGGAAGCCTGTTGTTTTGAGTTTCACTCCTAGCCCGGCCGCTTGGACACACTGTACCCACTCAATCACATACATTTCAAGTCATCTAAACAAGTCGTGGATGGGTGCCCTGGGCTTGTAATGAGCGCCCTGAACGCCTCCGCGCAGCGAGTCGAACGGTGTTTCAGAGTGCGAAATCACTGATGCATTATTCTCTCCCACACAATTAGGAGGTTGGCGTCGGGGCGCCGTAGTTCTTCATCAGTATGTTCAAGTGCGGAATTCCGATTTTATTCGAGAAGGCGCGGCATTATGCATCGTGATTTGACCGTTGACCTCATTTTCGCGGGATTTGCTGATCCCATTTGTCGAACACAGGTGCTTATCTGACTCGATAGCTCGAAGGGGAGAGATTCTCTTCCTAAAGTGACTTGCCTTAATTCTGATTGGAATTCCGGGGTTTGTTGCGAAATCAACCTTGTTGTCCCATCTGATTATAGTTCAAGTTCGAATCTACCAGCCGACATTCGGAGTGTTATGATTGAGCTAACTTGAGGATGCACACCCATCCACTTTCGCAAGTCTCCTGTGCATACTCCCTGTCTCAGATCAAGCTGGGTACTATGGGATTTAGTGCAATTCAACTCGAGTTCCCGAGCCGAAAAAAAATGGAAAGTCGCTGGTAACATCGAGTGTAGTTATTTTGAATATGAACTCCAGTCGGAAAATGAAAATCGCCAATTCTTGCAAAGATCGCTTGCAGTTCTTGATGCGGCTGTAGTTGAGGACAGAGCAGATCCTGTTCGCTTACTTGACTGCACCAAATGCACGGCTAATAGTTCAGCCTTCTTGATAGCTTGCTTCCTAGCCATTATCGCACATCCCGATCGAAGCGATTGTCCAAATAACCTTTCCACGTCTCAAGCGAGCAGTGTCTCAGACTGAGCACGTGACGTGAGTTGAAGGTGGACGGCCGTCATAAATCATGGTCTTATCAATCTGCTAATGCGCCCATAACCCTTGTCGGTTGGTACTACTACTCAACAACTGGGCAACCGAGCCGTCTCGTCTCGCTGCGTCAGAAAGGCCCCAGGCACGACGACGACGTGCACTGCCTTGCGACCCCGCTGTCCCGGGCCCGGCCTGGCCTGGCCAGTGACACACAGCAAGTTGAACACAGGCCAGGCCAGGCCAAGCAAGCCCCAGGGGAGCCCGATTTCCGGTGTTTGTGGGCTTGGTGCGTCTGTGCCTTGGTCCTGCGCTGCAACCGCTGCTGACGCTGGCACCCGTTTCCCGGGCTGATCTGCAAGGGGCTCGGTCCATATGTAAGTACTTCACCGCTAATGACCCAATGTGACGCCTTTGATTGAGTGCAGGCGGTTGAAATGCTGCGGAACCCGATGAAAAACTAACCTGGGGAGTGAAGGTGGTGGTCGATAGGTGTGATCCAATGTGACAGATCGTACCACGTGACCGTGCTTCCAGCCCAGTCGATCAAATCGTTATTCGGCACTTTGACGTACGTCTCTGAGACTCACTCGACCACCTCGCAGTGTGGAAGTCTTGCCTCAAATTTCTCACTCAAGAATGTCTCCCAGAGAAAATTTCCAGCCTCATATGCTACTCATCCACTCGGAAACATCCAGTCACTAAAGCCCGTTGCCTGCTAACCTGCCGCTGGTCCCGCTGAGAACAGTGCACACTCTCAGTGGAGCTGCACCTCCGATCCCTAAACCTGTATCATGATCATAAAGCTCGAGATCTTCGGAGAAATTCATCGACCGACCCTAGCTTCGTCAAGTGCACAGCTCCCCTCCTGCTTCCATGCGGCATGTGGGATGCGGGGGGGTGTGCATCCCATCTGTGGCTTTTTCAGTCTATTTCTATGCTGGCCGCACTTCTAGTGCATCGCTCCTTCTCTCGATCACTGCATGAAACACGTTCTGTGCGTCATCATCCCCTGTTTCCCAGGACCGTACACGGCTCGACGTCGAGGTTCTGATGGCGTGGAATCTCGTTCTGCTCACGAGGCGTGGGTAGCTCCAGCCACTGGTCTCTGCCGCGACCGAACATCGCTCAAGTCTCCAGACCAATACCGGTGTGAATTGCGCCGGGCTTGGAGGGTAGGACCGAGGTTTTACTGGGATTGTGCCAGTTCCACTCACGATGTCCGCTCTGCTGTGGCCGCACTCCAAAGCCATAGCCGGGAATGTTTTCCGCACATGCGTGGGTATCGCAGACGCTTCGGCGCCAAAGCCCATCCGATCTCGAAACGCAATCAGAGATGAGATGATCAGAGAAGCAGCAGCAGCAGCAGCAGCTGATTGAGATGCGGAAGACAGGATATTTCGAGGACCGTGCGTTGGTCATCTCCAGCAAACTTCGGGGTTACATGTTCGAAGCTCATTACATTCTATCACTGATCGTTGATGGGGTAGACTTGGCCAGCCATGCATGGGAAGATCATGCGAGCACTGGCCCCAGGCCACGGCGTGGGCCGACGCTCATCCCCAACCGGAGCTTACTTGTCTCCAAGTGAATTGAAACCCGCCTTCGCACATAGCCGCTACGGATAGTACCAGAATGAAAGATATCAGCATGCGATTTGATGTACTCTGCACACTGCTTCGGTGAATCCTTGGAGGAGATAGATTACATCTTGTCCAAGCTATGGTTGTCGAATCGTACGACTTCAGACCCCCACCTTCTCGAACCAAGCCTCAGCCCGCTCCTCGACAGTGTCCCCTTTGGGCGGCTCGACACCCGCGCCCGCGCCCCAGAAAACTTCGGTCGGAGAGAATCCTCGAGGACCATCGAATTCGGCAACGAAGCCCTCCATTTTGAAGCTCCAGGGCTCGCTCCCGGTCGACTGAACGGAGCGTCCCAGTAAGACGGAGGTCGACGGTAGAAGGGGTAATCCGACATACCTGGACACCTAATCCCGTCATATTCCATACCCCAGCATCGTAGTGCTCCAGCAACATGAACTGAGTCACCATAGTGTCCCACTCAGCAATGAGCGTGGGTACGTCCGCCTGCACGGTCTTGGGGAACTTAGCCAGGAGCCTTTCAGAGATCTCACTGCAGGAGGCACCGGTAGTCGTCCCGTTGAGGATCAGACAAAAGTCGATGTCGCCGTAAGCGGGGTTGCGATATTTGCCGGCGAATGAAGAGAACGGTTCTGATGGTACAGTGGCGTTCTCGGACCGAGGCTGCTTCGGCGGTGGAATGGATGCTTCAACGGCAGAGCGGTACCTGGATATACTCAGAACAGGCGTGATTTCCGCAACGCTGGCAATGCGCACCGTCCAAGCCAATCCACCGGCTCCAGCGCAAGGTACTCGTCGACAATGCGGTACTTGATGGTTTCCATAATGGACACACCGAGATCTTCCTCGTTGATCAGCACAGCGACACCCAGGTTCTTGGACGGGAATCGCGCAATCTGGCTCTTGAATCCGGGAGTAGATCCTCCGTGCTGCAATCACCGTCGGCAATGCCCTAACTACAGAGCGAGCGCAAACATACCTCAATCATTTCTGTCACGCGCATCAGCATCTTGCACAGAGTTCAAGGGAAATGCACATACCCACCCCACGATACGTTCCGCGCATTTGACCCCCACCGTAGACGATGGGGGAGAGTTCCGGGAATCGGCTGCGAAGCATGTGTCAAGTGAGACATCGGGAAAGCTATTTCCGACTCACGCAACCGGGGTCAGCACAGTTACTCCACTGGCCACCTTTTGGAGAACCTCAGGAGGTATAACGCTCTCGTTGTCCCGGTTCTTTCCGTCTTCAAGCAGAGCCCGTAACCAGGTGGCCTACGATGCGTGAGTTTCGACCAGACTGGGCAGCAACGAGGAGCCGAAATACCACGTCACGAGGAGTCGAGATAACACCACCGGCACCAGAAATACCTAAACAGAACGTGTCAGAGAACGTACTCGAGAGCGCCAAACACCACCGACCGTAGCTGTACTGGTCCCAGAATTGGAACGTCTTTACTGAGCCTTGGTCAAACGGATCGCGGGAGACGTTGGCTCCATCTCGCAGAAAGCCATCCGCCAGTAGCCTCTCCCGCTTCAGGGTCTCGTTGTAAAAGTACGTCGTGTCCGCCATCCCGAGGGGCCCAAATATATTGGCAGCGACGTATTCCTCGAATGGGGTTCCGGTGAGCGCCATGGGCAGATGCGAGAGCGTGGTGTACATCAGGTTGTTATACTGCGCAGTCTCGCGGAAGCCGGCGGAGGGTCGCAAGTATTGTAGGCGTTTGATCTGTGAAAGACATCAGCAGCACATCTACGGCGTTCAAAGAGACGAGACACACCACATCTAGCACGGGTGTGTAGAGGGGAAAGGCGAGATCGTGTCTCGGCAAGCCCGTGCGGTGGCTCATGATGTCGACGATGGTGCTCTCGCTCGACGCCACTGGATCCATCAGCTTCCACTCCGGAATCATCGACGCGATCTTGGTGTCCCACGAAATGCGGGGCGTCAGGGACTCGTTCGAGACCAGCAAGCCCGTCGCGACCACGTCGAAAAGCTGTAGCGCAGATGAGTGGGTCTGTGCGTTGCACGGGAGGTCGACAGACTTTTGAGTTCGAGCCAATCGCAAAGAGCGTGTCTCCGGTCGCGCGATCGCCGTTCGCAGTCGCATTGCCGTATCCTTTGCTCTCCGTCACCCACTCGCCCTCACGCGTCTGGTGCACAACAGCGACACCGGCGCCCCCCGGCGTGTTGAAGTCCCGCAAGATACCCTCGATGACTCTGTCCATCCTGGCCGTCAGGATTTCCGTGCCATCGGGCTCCATTCCCGCAGAACGCAGCGGAACTTGGAGGGCCGGACGCGCTGCAGTGTATGTCGCGAGGATCAGGCACGCTGAGAGGCGCAGGTGACGGACGAGAATGTGCATCTTTTTTTCCTCTGGCGAGATGCCGCTGAAAGACAGTGATTTATATATGCAATGAGAGCAGGATCCGCAGCGACGCAGGCCACGCAGCCGTCGGAGCCATATGAGTACCAGGGAGCCGTGTGAATAAATCAAAGATGAAAAGCCGTGATAAGGCGTGCGAAGTCCGTGCACATCACGTGAAAAGATGCTCACTCGAAAGCAGTGAGATGAAGTCATGCCCATTGCCAATCCTCCAAATCATTTGCTCTCTTTTTCCGCGTATTCAGTACGACTACTTTCTAAACCACCCCAAGATTCTATATATGATTTGACGTGTCTAGCATGTAACGTCCATAGCCAGACGGACGGCCGATCAAAGCCGAGGTAGAAAAATGGACCCATGATGCACAGGGGCTCAGCACTCGACTGTTGCGAGATCAGACATAGTTTGAATTGGTACTGCTTCCCATCAATTCAGTGAATTGAGAAAATGATTGATCAATCAAGGGACAAAACGAGGCCGTCCGTTGCGGGAATTTCATAAGCCGAACTCCCAGTTGGCGGGAGGGTGGAGGTGGCCCCCCGGTTACTACCTATCGACTCAGTCCGGAATGATGCAAATTAGCGCCCAAAAATGATCATATATTAGTCTGAGAAAGAGCGCAAATCAGGCCGAATGCATATGAACGCCAAATCCCAGGCTGAAACAGTGCAAATTACCAATACAGACCGCAATTTTTTTTTCGTAGTTGCCCTTGTCCTTGAATGCCAGAGGGAACTGAAAACCAGGTCATTCACCTACTGCGACAAGTCAGATTCTGTGGAATGCGCCCTACAGTTATGGCTGAATTGAAAGGGCCCAACCCAAACACAAATTAGGAGGGTGCCATCAAATATATTTACAGTAAGTCTAGCGCACCAAATTCTGGCCATAACTAATTTATTCCTCCTAAATACAAGCTGAAGCAGACATTCTATCGTGGACAATGGCCAAATTCTATCTAAACTCCTGTGATCAGCCAGTTGATGGCACTTCCCACCGATTTGGGTTGGGCCTTTCAATTGGTCCGTGACTGTAGCCTGAGAGAGGATAGAATTGATCAAAAATTTGCTCAAAACGATATGAAAAGCTCCAAATTTAGGTGAATCTCCGTACGATACAGTGCAAATCAACGCTCCAGACAGCCGATTTCATAGTACAAATCAGCTTCTTGACGCGAACTGACCTTGTATTAGGGAGTAGCCGAGGGCCTGCTAGAGGAGATTATCACGTCACATGGGTGATGTTCGCTGAAGGCAAGATGGTGGCTTCCCCACGATTCCTACAGGCCAGTAATCGGTCGACTGAATGTTCACATCCCCTACGCTTGTTCCCACCCTGAACCATGCATTATCGCTCGAGAGTGCCTTGGCCATGTCAGTAATCTCTAAAAAAAACTCGTGGTCCGTCATCTTGGCCTGGGCAGAATTCTCCCGTCAAGTAAATGCCTCAAGTTTGATCAGAGCCGGAAGCCCTCTATTATGAGCAACACTTGATACGGCCCAGAATTCTCTGACTTCTGATCACCCAGTGCTCCGCCGGATTGGAGACGCTCTATCTGGTAGGATGTTCTCTCGACTCAGTTAGTTTTTGGACGTGCGAGAAGAACATTCCGCGAGCATGATAATATTGCCGATAGATGCACGCCCGGGGCTTGGCATTACACAAGCAAGTACATTAAAGACATCTGGCTACCGAACCGTACACACAGCATATTACATTACTTCTTACAAAAACCAAGTCAGTAGTCAGCATGCACGATGCTGAAATCTCGCGTCCTTCTCCGGAGATTATATATTCGCGAAGAAGACTGCGATCGGTGACGGAGAGTCTTGGCTCTGTCGAACGCCACAGGAGGAGGAGAAGAAGCAGGTGCGAGCGCTGCCAAAGGCCGAGGACGTGAGATGAGATCGACCGTCAGTGCGGGAAGCGGCAAGTTGCGGTTTGCGCCGGGAAGCTGGACAGTCTGCTGGGCCGGGGGGACGGACTTCGAGCGCCGACGGGAGCGGCGATCTGCTGTGGTTCCGGCCCGTCCTCTACTGCGACACGTGGAGTCCGAGGGAGGAAAGACGAGTGACGTGGGGACAGGCCCTCCCAGCAAGTTCGCAAGCTTCATCATTTTCCTCCGTCGCACGATGTGTTCGTCGGACGCAGGTGGCGGCGACGATATGACAAAGGAAAGCAATCTTCTGACGTGGAGCGAGTCCGTCGATTGGCTGGCGACTGGCTCGCTAATTGAGGATGGGGATTGCGTCAAGGCCAGGATAAGGCGGATGCGCGTGGCAGACACAATAGCTTGCAGGGATTGGTCCGATAGCGTCAGCCGGATCCCATCCGTGAGAGTGACAGCTTCGACGCTGTTCGCCGACGCCGTCGAGGAAGATGCGATAGAAGAATGGGATGGGACGGCGAAGATGACACCTGCACGTTTGTATGCCTTGTCACTGCTTCGAGATAGCGACCGCGCTAGCTCTGGCAGAACGAACTGCATCACCTCCGTCCGCGACGCTTTCAATCCCGGGGGATGCTGGGCGCTTTGGCGCTCTGCACAATCCAAGATGATAGGGGCTTCACCCAATGTGGCGCCCAGCTTTCGAACAGAACGCAACCTCCGTCTTCGCTCATCAAGCGCGAGCTGGTTGCAGGTTGGTGGCTTCTGCTCCATGGGTATTTGGGAGGAAGACGACGATGACATGCACGCAGGGGCTCCGGGTTGTCATGCCAAGTGAGTCGAATCGCACGGGAGCAAATCGGAAAAAAGTGCAAGCCTTGTCCTTGTGCTCTTCACACATTCCATGAAGCTGGGTCGGGAGACGGAAAGACACCGAATATCATGGGAAAACAAGCCGAGTTGCGCCAACAAACCGCATCGCACATCTATCGCCTCGGTTGAAGGGGCTTGAGCGTTGACGGTTGGCGCTGGAAACGGTACCAGTCAAACCGGCTCCAGGTGACCCGAATCATTTGTCAATCAGCTGATCAATCGGATCAAATCTACACCCTTCCCTGCTTCGAACTCTCAGAAGTGCGTAAATTCCATGATCTCCTTGGACTCACATGAACAATTTATTTGACGCTTTGATCATTAGTGGACTATTTCGGACCTTCCCAATTCCCATGTGGCCCGCTGCCTGAACTGGTTCATTGACTGCGCTTGGTGTCACCCGCTTCTTCGAGCCTGATGATAGTGTCGATAGACCGGCAAGATGGACGTTGGATATTCACGTGTTGCCTCATAGCTCAAGGTTTGTTCGAAGGTGGGCTTGGGCTTGGGTGCAAATCGCTAATCGCTATCTTATCATCTGCCGCGGGATCAGAACCCTCAATTGCTGAACCGTTGACATTCTCACACCCGAGCCAAATTGACTCTCCAACGCATGACTGCGGCCGGATGATCATATCTGATAACAGCCTGCGTGCTAGAACCATCCAATGAGGTCTCCTCATCTTATCCTTCCCAGCGTCGTCCGCGGAGCCACACCGCGCAAACTCAGCCAGGTTCCTTCCTTCCTCCACCGCTTACCAGGTTCTCCTCGCCGGGATTACAACACTCCTGATGCGCTGCCAGGAAGTCATCCTGATAATACAGATCTGGGCGCTTCTCGGCCGGCTGACGGTTCCTCTGCACCAGTCGAGTATCTGTTTCGTACCTCGACCCGGGCCGCTTGTGCCTCGTCATCATGTTTTTGACCAATGTGCGAGAAGGGATACTCCAATCTGCAGGCAAGGCGGCCTACCTCTGCAGATAATCAACCGTCCGCCACTCCCACGTGTCAGCCATACCATCTCGACATCGAGGCTGTTGTCATTCGAGGCCAGTGATACCCAGGTCTAGATGCCGGGGTCGCGAATATTATTGGCCAGCGTCTCCGGTCGTGAAAACTTCTCCAGTCGCGATCTGTCCGCTTCCATACTTTCAGCATCGGAAGGCTTCCTCTGGATCCGATGCCTCTTCAAGTAAGCACCCTGACCGTGTCTGTTATAAGAACATGCTGGGATGGGATGGAGAGGGTCAATCAGTCCAAGATATGTCTTCTCCATGCATCACCCATCCATCTCTGCGTGAGCCCCACCGCTCATCATATTAACCTGTTCATTAACATCCCACGCGACCGCACAGGCGTCCGTGACCTCGTTGATGCTCAGCGCGTTCTCGAGGCCGTCCGGCTGCGCATCCTGCCACTCATCACGCGGCGTCTGCGTCCGCAGGAACGCGCCATCCTGAGCAGCGGCAATGTTTTCGTCTGGGAGGAGTCTGAGGCCGAAGATGGCCTCGCGCGTTGGACCGACGGTCGGGCGTGGTAACATATTACATGTTCGCCTGTCACGGACACAGCACTGACCCGTCACGGCCAGGTCCCAGAGCAAAATGCGAAGCGACTGTTTGTTCTACGAGGAGAAGCTCGCTCTAAGTGAAGATGAGAAGGCCGCCAAGGCTGTCCGGCGGTAAGTGATCGAACTCCGGAATCTCACGCGGATGCTGAGGCGTGATCGCGTTTGGTTGGACAGGGCTATGAAAGCGAAAAACGGCTGTGCCGAGATCCCTGCTGCTCCCAAGCGCAGGGACCGGCCGACGAAGGTGGACGGGCTGCGGAAACAGACGTACTCCGTGCTGATCCATCCGCCGGGAGCCACGAGTCCGCGCAGGTGGCACCTTGTGGCATACCACTCCGTTCGTCTCTCGCCAAAATTGTTGCGTGATGGCGCTCGCTTCTGACATCAGACCCAGATAGCGGATGCTCCCAATCTTCCCGTAATCGAAGACTTCGACTATCTGAAGAATATCTGCATACCCGAAGGCGTTTTCGTCGGTGCGACCCGTTCCAGAGGCGTCTTCGAATCTTTTCCCCGGCCATTGCCCGCGCCCGGCACTGTGCACCCCCTCTCGAGTGCTAGTCGCTTTCCCTCGGTCGAATCTGAAGACAGTTCGGGCTCTGACTTTGACGCGGTCCTACTCCCCCCGATATCTCCTCAATTCGTGCACGCCCCACGATGTCTCCCGCCTATCTCGTCCCTCTCCCTCGGGCCGCCTGGGGCTCCATCAGGTCGCGGCCGGGCCTCGAACTCGATGCGTCAGGACGATCGACACGTTTTAGACAAATTTCGAATGTTTATCTAGATTAGATTAGTCCCATCATTATCGCATCTTATCTGATTGAATGTCATGGACATCGCACGGGCTGAGACTGTTTTCGTCCCGAACAAACTAGCAGCGCGGGCTGCTCTGAAGAACGCGGAGGCTGAAAGACCGCGTCCCTGAGCCTAACCGGGACCGATCAACCTGCGTGTGAACCCAATACCCAGGAAACGCGACCATCTTTGATTCGCTCCCACGCATTAGGGTTCGCTGCGATACACAGCTTTGTCACCCACCTCCGTGCCGCCCCATCCCTCCCGTCCGTACCGCCATGTCGTCAACGTCAACGATGGACCCGAGCGCCGTCGTGATGAACTCGAGCGCCTTCCGTACGTGCGCTCCCGCACCGGCCGCCGTCGGGCTTATCTGACGCCGTACCGCGGGTACACAGGCTACGCCGTCCTCGTCGCGCTCTGCATCGTGTTCGCAATTGCCGCGGGCATGTGCTACCGCACGAACGCTTACAGGCGGCACATGCGCTCGCTCGTCGCCGCCGAGATCATGCGCGGGCAGGCCGCGGGCACCGCCGCGACGCAAGCAGCGGAAGCGGCCCTGGGCCCCAAACCGGATCTGTTCAATGTCTACGTTGTCGAGGACTTCGCTGATGAGAAGAAGGGAGGAGTGCGGTGGGGCGACCTGCTGGTGCGTCTCGCTCTGTTGAAGAAGCAAGTGTGTGTGTTTGACTGGGGCGCATGACAGCCAATAGCAGTTACGCGGCACGACAAGGGAAGCGCCCTGTTGTCCGTGGCGCATGTCTCTGTGATGATAAGGATGCCTCATGGAGATCTACCACTGTCCCCGTCCGAGCCCGAGAGCGAACGGAACCTCTCCGCCTTGGAGATGGGCCTATGCGAAACGCCTTACGTGGATAAGCACGATGCGAGCGTGCGACTGTAACAACATGCCACCCTTGGAATTGAAACACAACATTAACGTGACGAAAACAACACAGTGGAAGTACAGTCTGAATAAGGTAAAGATTTCGAAGAAGATCAAATTGCAGGCGGCGGGAGACCTGGGGTCGCCGGCGGCTCGGGCTGTTCGTACGGCGGCGGCAGCTGATTAGCGACGTGGGCCTCCAGCGTCGCCAGACGCTGCTCGAGATACCGTTCCCGCTCAGAGGGGTATAGTGACGAGGGATTCGCCTCGGAGTAGACCGTATCTCTGCGCGAGGATGTCTCGGACTGCGACTGGGACGGCTGCCGCGATATGGAGCGCGACGGGCCGGCGACCGGGGTGGGCACAATATATCCCGCTGTTTAGCTCCGGAGTCAGAATCCAGATCGAAACGGAACCTATTTCGACGCACCCATTTTCTCAGGCGGGAATCGGCCTGCACGCGTGTCGACAGACAAAGGTGCAGCAGCGGCCTCAGGTGACAGCGGCAACGTCTCACGAGTCATCGTCCCGCTCCGCGACAGCGGGGGATTGGCGTTCGAGGAGGCCGAGGCGAATGTGCTCGTCGCAAATAAGTTCCCGACGGTGTGCGAAGCGGGCGGGCGCTCGTCCACGAATGGCTGCAGCACATTGTTGCCCCGGATCCTGCGCATCTCGCCCTGCACCGGCGGGAGACCAGCCGCCCGCCGCTCGGCATCTTGCTGCGACCGCTTGACCTGCCTCCGCCGCCGGAAGAGCACGAAGAGCACGAAAGCCAGAACGCCGCCGACGAGCACGCCGATGACCGCACCGACGATCGCACCGACATCGACATGGTGCGCGGAAGTCAGAGCCGCAGGCGAGTCTTGTGTTGAGCTGGATCTTAGTCAGTCTTCGAGCGCAAGGTGCTCTGAGCCTAGACAGAACTGACGTAGGGACAGGCGTTTGAGAAGAGGTGCTAGTGACCGTTGAATGTATGCAATCGAAAAACACGTTGAAACACTCACGCCGAGGTAGATCTGCGTAAAATTGAGAAATCGAGCGAACCAATGAAAAAGCACTCACAAGACAACAGCATGGGCCAAGGCTGTTTCCGAGACGCTGCAGACATGAGATAATCGGCGATCCATGTGGTGTGCTCGGAGGAAACTTACGCCGATGATGCTTTATTGGCTGAGGAAGAGGAGGAAGATTGACCAGCAGGACTAAGCAGTTTGAGCGAGTGCTTCTGTCAGAGCAGCTACACCAACCTGACGCTCTTCAAGCTGAATTCCCATCAGCGAGGGACTTCTGGAGATAATGGGGACGCACATAGTGGTTACAGAGACCGAACTTGTGGTGGTGGTAGTGGTGAGACTGTTGGGTGAGTTTGCGGTTACTGCGGACAGGGTTGGGGAAGGAGAAGGGGCAGCCTGTGTCTTGATCACTGTGACAAGGCTCCTAAAGCGACCGAATAAGCACACTAGAAACGACATGAACCAGCTGCCAGCCACTCACGTCGCGGGTGCAGCCGCGGGCGTAGTGGGCGATGGCGTATTGGTTGACGGCGGCGCTGCCGGCTGTGTCGGCGGATCGGCACTCCCACTCGTGACGACCGCATAGTCAAACAGCGCCGCCTGCACCTGCACGCCGGTCGTGGGATTCGTGTTGAACACCCAGCTGACGGTGTGCGTCTGGTCCGCCGGCAGGCCCGTCGCCGCGAAGAACAGCGCGTTGTACGCGAAGCGCGCGCTGCCCGTGTAGTGGTGCGTCGCGGTCGTCGCGCCGAGCGTGAAGACGATGTCCGGCTGCGAGTCGGCCTGGTCGATCCCGAAGATGTACACCGCGGAGCCTGGAATGGAATCAGACTTAGGCGGATGGAGTGGGTCGTCAGCGGCCGCACGCACCGGTGAATGTAAATGTCCCCGTCGTCAGTGTCTTCGACCCAGCGCGGTAGTTCCCGTCGGTCCATGTCTGGTCGAACGTCTGCGACGGGTCGGGCTTCGACGAGCAGAAGTCGCACGGGTGCGCGGCCGACGTGGGAGTCCACGAGCCCGAGAAAACAAACGCAGGGTCGGCATCGTCAACGGTCGTATTAGTAATCGCGCTCTCCACGACGGGGACAGCAGCCAGGAATAGTAGGACGAGGAGAGGAAGGGCGAGAAACGGGGTGGCCCAGAGCGATGTCATAGCGATTAGCGAGCGTGCAAACGAGTGTGGCGCGCCTGTCTGCAACGGGGCAGAGCCAGACAGTAGATAGGGCTGTTATTGCAGCCCAGTTCGTGGTCGGGTCGTCAACGCCAGCGGGGGCGACGAGCAGCAAGATCACGAGTATAGGGTAAGGACAGAACCAAGATAGCGACCTTGGATTCTGGATATTTCCGCCCGCCGAAGCGAGAACTAGCGAGACCATGGGAAATTCAGGATTTCATCACGATCAGTCGTTGACGGACAGGTCAGACCGTCAGTTGCTTCCGCACGCTAATGAGTAGGTATGACGTCCAGGAGCCCCTCCGCATCATCGCCATAGTGATTTCAGGGAGCGTCTTCACTTGCTCCCCTGTGAGGTTGCTGTAGGCACGGTCGGCTTGACTCGCTGTGCGGTGTCTGCGGAAACCGAAATCGGTGGTGTGCGATTGATGTCAATGCCATCAGAGATGGGCGCACACGTGCATTCCCGCGCTCAGCGAATGAACCCAATTCAGTAGTCGCGAGGGATGAGTTGGCCAACGCAGCATCGATGCTCTCCACGCGCTGGTGATTCAGCGGCACAAGAAGGTATCATTGGAATCACGTCGGTACAGGAAGACGAACCGGAATCGGGTGTATCGGACGACGAACATTGAAGACAACGACGAAGACCCCGAAAACGGGTGAACACAACACGACGCAGCTCCGCCTGGCTTTAGCCAAGCCAATCCCACCCCCCTCTTTATGAATATATGATCATGATCAAGGCTGCGCTCGATGCTCCGACACAACACCTCGATACAACCCAAACCAGACGAAGAACATGACTACTCACAATGGCCAAAGAGACCCATCCATCCTCCCATACGAACTGCCTCTGGGCACCACGTCTTATTAGTTAGTTTGCTTGTTGCGGAATACCAATGCAGATTTTTTTCCTCTTTTTGGTGGTACGAGCAAACATGGGACAGGGTAACAATCGGTTACCTTCCCACGCGCTATTTGTAAAGTCGAAGGGTTGAGCCTCCCGGGACGGGCAAAAGTCCCAAGATCTACCGCCCAGTGAAAATGAGTCTCTTCAAGTTGGGCCTGTCCAAACTGATAGGGAATAGCTGGGGCCAATCGGAATCACAGAGAGGTTGAATGTTCCTGATTAAACCTAGAGAGGATGCGGTCCCTTGGCTATCCGTCTATATGGTTTGTGTAAGTAGAATGAGGACAGTCCCGTGTGATGTCGGTGGCATATGATCAGATAAGATGGGATAATGATTGGGCTAATCTAATCTAGATAGACATTTGAAATTTGTCTAAAACGTGTCGATCTCTTTGACGCATCAAGTTCGAGGCCCGGCAGCGACTTGGTGGAGATGCAGGAGCGCCGAGCGAGATAGACGAGATGGGTGGAAGACATCGCGGAGCATCAGCGCATTGAGGGGATATCGGGGGGAGAAGCACCGCGTCAAAGTCAGAGCCCGAACTGTCTTCGGATTCGACCGAGGGAAAGCGACTAGCACCGGAGAGGGGGTGTGCGGTACCGGGTTCGGGTAATGGCTGGGGAAATGATTCGAAGACGCCTCTGGAACGTGTCGCACCGATAAAAACGCCTTGGGGGATGCAGATATTCTTTAGATAGTCGAAGTCTTCAACCACGGGAAGATTGGGAGCATCCGATTCCTGGGTCTGATGTGAGAGGCGTCTTTACGCAATAATCGATGCGAGGGACGAACAGAGTGGTATGCCACAAGGTGCCACTTGTGCGGACTCGGGGCTCCCGGTGGATGAATCAACACGGAATAGGTCTGTTTCCAAAGCCCGTCGATTTTTGTCGGCCGGTCTCTGCGCTTAGGAGCAGCAGGGATCTTGGCACAGCCGTTTTTCGCTCTCCTAGAACTGTCCAACCAAACGCGGTCAAGCCTGAGCACGGGTGTCAGATTCTGGAGGTTTGATGACTTACCGCCGGGCAGCCTTGGCAGCCTTCTCATCTTCACTCATAGCGACCTTCTCCTCGTAGAGCAAGCAGTCGTTTCGCATTTTGCTCTGGGACCTGACCATGACGGTCAGTGCTGAGTTTGTGACCGGCGATCGTGTAATTTGTTACCACGCCCGACCGTCGGTCCAACGCGCGAGGCCATCTTCGGCCTTGGACTCTTGCCAGACGAACACATTGCCGCTGCTGAGGACGGCACGTTCCTGCGAACCGAGGCGCCGTGTGATAAGGGGTAGGATGCGCAGCCGAACGGCCTCGAGAACGCGCTGAGCATCGGCAAGGTCACGGACGCCTGTGCAGCAGTGTGGAATGTTAATGGACAAATGATTTTGATAAGCAGCGGGCTCACGGAGAGATGGATGGGTGATGCACGGATAAGACATATTTTGGAATGATTGGCCCTCTCACCCATCCCGGCCTGCCCTTATAACAGCGACGACCAGGGTGCTTACTTGAACAAGGTATCGAATCCAGTGGAAGCCTCCCATGCTGGAAGGTATAGAAGCGGAAAGATTGACCAGCAAGGTTTTCACGGCCGGGGATGCTGGCCGATAACACCCCGAACCTGGCATCCAGACCTGCATATATCACCAGCCTTGAGTGACAATAGCCAAGATATCGAGATGGTATGGCAGACATGTGGCGTAAAGAGCAGTTGATTTTCTGCAGTGGTAGGTCGCCTTAGCTGCGGGTAGGAGACTAACCCTTGTCTCACATTGGTCAAAAACATGATGACCAAGCACAAGCGGGGTTCTACGAAAGAAAAATAGTCAATTCGTCGCAGGAACCGTCGGCTGGTTGGAAAACAGCCAGATCTGTATTACTAAAAAAAGAAATGTGCTGGCAGCGCAGTAGGAGAATTGTTAAGCTGTGGAGGGGAGGAAGAATCAAATTTGCATGAGTTTGCGCGGTGTGGCTCCGCAAATGATGATGTGAAGGATAAGATGAAAAGACTTCATTGGATGCACCAGGTTGCAGTCTCTTATCAGATATGATCATCCAGTCGCGGTCGTATGCGTTGGAAAGTCAAATCGGCATGTGAATGAAAACGTGAACGGCTCACCAATTGAGGGTTCTTATCATGTGGCAGATGACACGATAGCAATTGTCACCCCAGCCTAACGTCAAGCCTCAAGCGATGCGAGAGCACGAGAACATCCAGTTGTTCACCTTGCCGATCAAACTTTCCCATCCGTCGGGCATGCAGGAGCCCGTGGCACTTCGAAAAGCCACTAGATCAAGGAAGCTTGTTCGTAGGACCGGCCTCACGTACTTAACTGGCCCCTGACCTCCACGTGTCCGGGAACCGGAATCACAGCAGATCGCAAGCTCACCCAAAACTCCATCCATCCGGCCCAAAGGGGATGTCCACCTCTCCCGCATTGACGGACCAGGCCATTGGCAGCGCTTGCAGCTGCTGCTTCGCCTGTGGCATTAGCCAAAGCCAAGACCCTCCGTCATCGATCTCACCCTTCTCTCCGGACATGTAATCCTAGGAGAAGGACGCGGGATTGTTTCGGCGCCGCGCGGACAGATTTATTGACTCGGCTGTTGCAAGAAGTATGTACAGTATGTAATGTAATGATATGTACTGTATGACTCGGGCATGATAGCCACATGTTCATTATGCACCTGCATGTAGGTATGATATTTGGCGGACGGATAATTTGGGGGAGAAGAGTGTATGATCCGGGGTAAGCCAGCCAGACGGATCAGCGCCCGCGTCGCGTCTTTGGTCTCTTTTCTCCCTTTCTCTGCATTTATCCCTGATTGTCCCCTCTCGCATATTTCTGCCTGCGAGTACACTGAGCCACCCTCGTCATCTCATTCCGCGCTCGCATTTTCGTACTCGTCGTCGAATTCTCCCGCTCACCGTTCCTATTGCATCATATTATATTCTACATATCTTTACGAGGATAGACTCCAGAGCCCTGCACAGCACGTCGATGCGTGAACAAGTAGTTTTCAGTGAAAGGCAGCATAGTAGTAGTGGCAATATTTTCAGCAGATCAAGATCGAGTGAAGCTTCTTGCTGGAGGGGATGCGCAATTTGGAGATGTTCGACATGTTTTTTGGGAGAGAAGAGTGATGGTGGCTGTCCACCATCACTTCTTCTCACTACGAGCATCTCGAACGTCTGGTTTCGCGAATAGCCTCAACAAGCATCTTCACTCGAACTCGCTTGATCTCGCACAAGAAGATTGAAAGAAGATGTGATGATCTCTCCGGCTCGATCATCACTCTCGAATGTTGCACACGTCCCCTGCACTCAATAAATGGACCCAATTCAGTAGTCGCGAGGGATGAGTGGGTCAACGCAACATTGATGCTCTGCACGCGTTCGCAATCCAGCGGCATAAGAGATCTCGAGTATGACCGGAATCACATCCGTGGTATTGCGTCTCGCACAAACCGTCTATTCCTTGGGATCCTGTGCCCCGGGCCGTTGATAGACAGCCATTCTACCATGGAATCGGCGGACCAGGAAACTTAACGTCGTTTGGCCGGTGTGTATGTCGCATACACTGTATGCACACCAAAGAGATACCCCTACTGTGAATATGCTGCAGTATCAGAGAGAAAGTCCAGGCCCAGTCACCCTAGCGCAGCATCATGATCCCGCGCATCACTATACACCTCCGGATAGTTCTCGTACGACGACCCCGACTCCGAACCAGACTCCGAGTCCGACACAGGATACACTACGATCGCACGTGGCACCGGCGGGGGCGAACGCGACTGCGACTGCGACTCCGGGTCGTCGTACCACGCGGACGTCACCGCCGCCGCCGGGCGGTCCGCGGGCCGCTCGAGGGGAAGGGATATCTGCGCCGGATCGATGCGCCGGGGTGACTGAGGCTTCGGTGGGGAGAAGAGGTTCTTGACGCGCAGCCCGCGCGCGGCGAACCGTCGGAAGGACTGCGTCATCGAGGAGGGGGAAGACGGCGAGGAGGAGGAGGGGGATTTGTCCTTCCCGCTTTGGTTCGCCCGTGCGGCGTCATTGCTGCTGCTGCTACCGCCGGCGTTCGAGGTGTCGGCAGCATCGAACGGCTCGTCGAAGTAGAAGTACGGCGTGCGGGGCGTCTGGACAAAGGGCGAGTCGATCGCGGTCGAGCTCGTGAGCGGAGGCGCGCTTTTCATGCTCGGGGGCTCGATGCGCCCGGGATCCGCAGTGAGAACCAGTGGCTGGGGCCCATGATGTGACCCGCGTAATCGGCGTGTCGCCAGTGCAGAAGGAGAGGCTGGTGCAGGAGTCGAGGAGGAAGAACGTGCCATGAAAGCGCTGGGGATGGGCGGTACGGAAGCTGGGGCCAAGAGGGGTGGGGTTTTAGAAGAAGTCGGGGATGGCGGAGCCGAGTGCTTGAGCCACTTTCGCTTGATGCTTTCTGCAGGCGTGGGGAACTAAACGAGAAGATAAGCAGCTGGAGACTTGGTGTTATATAAATCCGACACGCAACAGAATATCCGTTACTGAATGGCGCGGGCTCCTTAGGAGCCACAGGCGGCAGAGATCTCGCACGGGACCCCGCACCTCCTCTTCCTCCGTATCGGACTTTCTGGGCGGCTTGGGTCGACTCTGTGCCGTAGTGAGACGAAGAGATCTGGCAAACCGACCTGCAGGAACCAACCTCCGATGGATCGAGTCGGGATGGACGGTGCATACTTGGGGCTTGCTGGCGCACTAAAGCGTGCAATGAAAGGCGCAGGAATGACAGGCAGGGAGTAAGAGCTCATGAAATGAATGTACAAGTGCGAGAGGGAAACGAAAGACTGGAGCGCATTGCATGAGATTCGCGCACTATTAAACGCGATTGAGGCGGGCGGGGAAGGGACACAGAGGAGCTCATGAGAGGCACAATCAGGTCAAACAGGCGGGGCGTTCCCTCAGGGGTGGACTAGACACTACAGATGCACGGTGCCGCCGAGGACGGAGAACTCAGGAGGTTAAGACAGTGGACAGAAAGACCAAGAGCCTGAACGGAGTGTCACATCAAATGTCAATCAACCCGTCAAGAATATTTTTAGGATAAGGTATCAAAGCTGCGACTTGGCGAGGTAGAAGGGATAGTCTGTGTAGCCCTTTGGACTGGAGCTTCCTGCATCGTAGAAAGTTTTTCGGTCGTACGGATTGAGAGGATAGTCATGCAGCAATCGAGACGGCAAGTCAGGCTATCAGCGTTGTCAGTTCCTCGAGAGCACTAGGCGTGTCGGCACTAAGCACTTACATTGGCAATGTACCTTCTCCCGAAGGCCACCAGGTCACCCTTTTCGCCATCTCGGATGGCTGCGTCGCGTGTATACCCGCCGGCAGAAATCAGCCGCCTCGAGCCAGACGACCAAATCTGTCGGACGAAGTCGTTGCTCATGTCCTCTGGCATGCTGTCCTCAGCTCGGATGTCGGCACCGGAGACTCGGGGCTCAACAGCGTGGATGAATGCCAGATCGGGGTGTCGTGCTTTGATCTGCTCGACGAGATACGAAAAGGTCGGCTTGGGGTCCTTCATGCCCATGTCTACAATCAAGGTCAGGACCTTGTTGCCTGGGACAGAGAACCGTGAAGGGTGTCACCTTGCCATGTGTTCCAGGGACTGATACGCAGGGCCGCTTTCTTGGGCCCGACGGCAGCCACGACAGCGTCCACGACCTCCAGCGCGAACCGGGCCCGGTTCTCCACGCTACCCCCGTACTCGTCCGACCGCACATTGCTCACGTCCTGCAGGAACTGGTCGATCAGGTATCCGTTCGCCCCGTGGATCTCGACCCCGTCGAAGCCCGCCTTGTGCACCGCGTTCGCGGCGGCGCGCGCATACAGCCGCGCGTATTCGGCGATCTCCGCCTTCGAGAGCGGCCGGGGCTTGATCTGGTCTGCGGGCCGGTCGCGGAGCGGGATGCCCGAGGCCGAGACGTATGGGTGGTCGCCCAGGGTGGAGGGCTGCGCCGCGCGGCCCAGCGCCCACAGCTGGAGGAATATGAACGACCCCTGCGCGTGCACGGCGTCGGTGATCTGCGGGGAACCGCGTCAGCCCGTGGCAGCATCGCGACGCGACACAACCGAGACACACCTCCTTCCACGCGGCAAACTGGGCCTCCGACCAAATACCGGGGACGTTGAGGTAGCCGCTGGCGCACTCGTCGATGAAGGTCGCCTCCGAGATCAGCAGCGTCCCCGGCTCCGACGCCCGCTGGATGTAGTACTCCTTGACGATGGGCAGCGGCACGCGCTCGCCGTCCGCGCGAAACCGCGTCAGCGGGGCCAGCACGACGCGATGCTTGAGCTGCATGTCGCCTACCGAGATCGGCTGGAACAGTTGTGGCACAGTAGCAGGCATAGTGAGCTGCTGGACGGAAAGGGAGAGTGCCCGGGCATGAATCCGGGGAGGCGCATTTATTGCAATAGCGACCGGTTAACGAGGTGCCCGAGGATGACAGATCATGACACAGGATTTTGCGAGCGAGGTCGACAGACGCAGAGAATCACTGCCAGAGCGGAGGCGGGGCAATTTCTGGCTGGTACCGTGAGTGGACGGATCACCACGATGCTCGTCGGGCCGAAGGCCGTATGTCAAGAGGACCGGAGGCGTGCCGGCCATGCTCAGCGAGGGACTAATCAGTCTTCCAGAAGCTGGCTCGTTGGCCGCGTGGAGGAGGACAACAAGGGCGAGGATTGATGAAAACTTCTTCCACCCGAGAGGAACGATTGTCCAAAGGCAAGGGCTGTCGTGAAGAGCGTGGGGCAGCCTGAGCCGTGAGGCACCAGGCGAAGAAGGCGCGGGCGGTCCCGGCCTCTTTCGGCTGCTTTCTTCATCCGGGAACACGTTTCATTGCCTACCAGCGAGTGCCGCACAGCACAACGGCGCCCTTGTGCTCTCCTGGGGGGTCTATCACCGCCGACCAGTCCTGGACCCTTAGCGCGAACTTCGAATACCACCTTCACTTCATTTCCTGAACGCACTGCTGGATCCTCGCATACGGTGTGACCAGTCTTGCACGCCTCTGATCGCGATTGCAATACACGGTCCTCAGGCCTCATGCTCGACACAAACCCTCGCGAAGTTACTGCCCTAGCAAGTAACGACCATCGCAAGACAATCTTTTCCTAATCATTGATGCATTCACACCCCCGCATAGAATCAACAGTGCGGTGCCCCAGACTCTGCCTACTTCTGATCTACCCCTGGAAGCCAGCCAACAGGCCATTGACGAAACCGGGATCCGCCTCGCAGCTGATGCTCAGGATGCCCGGCGCCAAGTTGTCCGACGTATCCGAGAACAGCTCAATCGCGACCCCATCGCCCAGCTCGCAGTTAGGGTTCCTGCAAGTTCACACACGCATCAGCAACCGACGCTCGGTCTTGAGAACTGGGAATCGCACGGGAATGCAACGCAGTCGTTGTCGACGTTGAGGGTCAGCGACACCGGGTTGTTCACGTTCGTGCACGCCGCGGCGTTGATGGCGGGGCCCGTCGGGTTCGGGGACGCGACGTTCAGCGGGACGCACGCGCCGGACCCACTCGGCCCGTCGCAGGCCTGGGGCACGAAGTCCTCGCGGACGGCCTGCACAGCCGTTTGTGAGTTTCGCAGCTCATCAGAGTGCGCCGGGTGCACTCACGACTGGCGCGCTGTGGACGAGGGAGAGGACAAGGGTGAATGCGATCGACGCAGAGAAAAACATGGTGTGGAGAAGAATAAGAAAAGGCTGCGAGAGAAGGAACTTGGAAAGAGGGCTGAAAGAAGAAGAATGAGGATGTCCTCCTTGCGATCCTCATTATATTCTCTACGGTCGATGCCAAGGTTTCTCGAGCACTGCCTGGGATGGCAGATACCATCGTTGCCCTCCCGCGTCTTGTGCTCGTTCGCAATTGAATCGAGACTGTTTCGTGTGCAATGATGCATACAATCAAACCCAAAATCAGATCGTTGGTATGTGGTATGGATCGGATGTGCAGGCTCTGTTAAATTCACGCCCTTATGGAGGTTGCGTGGTGGACCTCGGGAGAGCCTGCAATCCAGTCATGGGCGACCCGAGGATGTGGATGCAAGCAAGTCAAGGTGCCGATGCTTGACCTGAGCCCCCAGTTACGAAGGCGCTGGCTTCGGGTCGCTCATGCTGATGCCTCGAAGGAGATTCAGCGTGCATCGTCATGAACATATGTAACAATGCGTACTGTGTGAACGTCCGTCCAAGGTCTGAGGCAGAGCACTATTTGCTGGGGCCTCCAAGCTGGGCAATTAACCCTTGATTCTCTACGCAGGCTCGATACTCGTCCGAACACACATCGCTCGCGTTTGGCATCGGCATGTGCGGGCAGTGCACCCGTGGTATCTAGCCCGGTGTGTAGCGCCATAGCAAGTGCCCGAGGCTATCTCGTCCGCGGGGCCCGTGGAGCTTAGGAACGACCTACAACACCGGATATATACATAATCGTACACGGACGCTACCAGCTACATTCTAAGTGATACATACAACGATACAAGAACCGCTCCATAGAAATCAGATCAGATCAGAGCAACACGAGTGCGCACCAGCCCGCCGCGCCAGTTGTGTGAGCCAGCAGAGCGGATATGCGACCATTCGTTTTGCATCCGGGAGAAAGCATCCTGGATGTGCTCGGGCCTCAGGGCCGTCCTGGCCTCCGGCGGAGGCAGAAACAGCGTGCTCATAGGCAACGTCGCCTCGTCCCGATCCGGCGACTCCTCCCTGCGTCGCTTCTCCGCGTTCCCCCCTGCGGCACCGAGGGCCTTCCGCTTTCCCATCAAGGGTGAGGAGTAGTCCTCCCGCAGGTGCGATTCTTCTAGTGACTTCTTAACGGCGAGCCCCGCGAGCGTGAGAGACCGGACCATCTCGAATGCCAAGAATCCGACGATGTCGACTGTATCGTCACCGGCTTTGAGATCGAGATGGGAGGGCAGGTTGAGAAATTCGCGGAAACGTTTGGCTGTGGAACGTAAGGAAGACGACGGCCGGTGAGCTCACGGCATACCTTTGCGGTAAGTAAACGAGGCTTGCCGACAGTCCGAGTAGTGCTGGTACTCTTCTCTCGTCATTTGCCGGGTCGCGTCGTCTGCTTCCTGCGCACAGTGTCAGCTCGGTCGAGGACGCGAATGAACTGATGGATTGACGGACCTTTAAACGCAAGATGGAAGCCTCATGTGCTTCTATATCATCCTCGTCCTCTTCGTCATCCGACTGGTGCCCGCTCTGCTTCAAGACCTCGGAATATACAGTCGCAATCTCCCAAGGTAACTTGATCGTGATCTTCTGCGCCTTGGTGGACAGTTTTTCTGCGCGGTCAGATGAGAAACCCTGGGACCAGGAGATTCCAGCAGCTAGCTACACACCGTCGCCACCATCCTCTAGAGCCTCCACCTCGACACCACCACCACCGTCACCACCGGAATCCTTCGCGTGTTTGCGCACTTCCTTCCAAGAGAGATACGTCCGGAGACGATTGACTTTGCCCCGGTCGTGGCGTATGAGGAAAATGAGGTCTTCAGCAGAGAGGTATCGCGCTCCTCGGCGCGTCGCGAGGGCACGGGCCTGTACCACCTTTGCATGACATCCAATAAGCACGACGTCGAAGAATGACTGGCACCGCGACGCACCAGCTCGATAATCTGTCCCCGTACTATGTCCTCCACTAGGTTGATGGTCTCAGAGTTGGGGTCCTGGACCTCTCCGAACACGAACATCTGGAAAGCATTGTCACTACTGCAGGGTACTCGAAATTGCGCATTGACCACACCATCTGAGAGATCTCTTGCGTGTACTTGTACTCTCGTATGAGGCTCCCGACATCCAGAAGCGTCCCTTTGCGAGCGGGTGCAGTCATTGTCGCCTTCAGCACAGGCGATACCGTGAGTACGAGTCGTCCCAAAAGTGATTGTCACGGTCTGTGACGACAGGATCTCTGGCACGTGCAAAGATGTCGACGTCACGTGAAAGATCTCCGGTCTTGCTTTCTCTGTACTTTGCACCAAACGGTCAACATGCTTCCAGTGTTTTATCACTCTGCGCATTTTCTCGTGTCTGGTATCACATAGAAGCCTCAAAATCAATGCATGGACAGCGTCTACAACACACTTTTGCATTGGGCCTCGGGTCGAGGCGAGGATAACGACTGGATCATGCAAATGGTGCATTCTATTGATCTAGGATATCAATGTGGCGCCTTCAAGATGAATTGCGAAACTCATCTGACAGTAAAAGCGTCATCAACAGCTGCCATAGCCTGACTGGGACAGACATTCCCTGCCGAAGTCTATGAAGGACTACACTTTGCACCGTCCCAAGATGCCTACCGCGTCACCGTCCAACCGACACTCGCGGCTTCACGCTCAGCCTTGGCCCTGTGAGCGTTCAAAGAGCCGCAGTACCCACTGACAGGGCCGGCCGCAAGGTGGTGCCGACGGGGATCCTGCAGCTCTCGCACTCGCTGGACTGTTCCATGGATCACATCTGCGGACCGGAACCAAGTGCTGCGCACAGGGGGTGCAGGTATTGAAGCACTCGGGGACTCTTGTGGGATCCCCAATGCGCTGCACACTCTCCACCGCTATCGTTTTGCTCCTAAGCCGCTTTTCGGGGGCAGCCAGCGCGCAAGCAGGCGCGTTTCTCGATGCGCGCGTGGACGCGATTATCACAGGCATGCTGCGCGACTTCAACACGCCGGGGGGTGCCGGGATCGCCGTCGTGCACAAGGCGGCGGACGGGCAGTGGGTCATGGAGAGCAAGGGGTACGGGAACGCCACGGCGGCCGGACAAGGCGCGACGCAAGACACACTATTCCCTATCGGCTCGAACTCGAAGGTACGCAGGATCAGGGCATTCGTATATTAAAGCGTCGTTTGAGGCTAATGTCCCCGCAGCTATTCGACGCGATCGCCACAGGCCTCTTAATCTCGAACGAGACTTTGTCTCCCCGCGTGTCGTGGGACTCGAAGATCGCCTCGCTCATCCCGGAATGGAAGCTCTGGGACCCAGTCGCGACGAGGGAGAGCACGATAGTCGACCTTATGAGCCATCGCACAGGCCTCCCGAGACACGACTTCATGGTCGCCCCGAGTGACTCGGTGCTCAGCGTTGTGGGTCCACTGTGCTGTCCTTCAATGTCGATGCCGAAATGCTGACAAGTACATTCGCCACAGATCAAACGGCTGCGGTATCTCCGTCCTTCCGCCGGATTCCGCGAGACCTGGCAATACAGCAACCTGATGTACATCGTCCTGTCTCACCTGTCTACGGTCCTCACGGGTCTCCCGTACGAGAAATACGTGTCGGACAACATCTTCGCGCCGCTGGGCATGAGCAGCACTACTTACACCTTCAACGACACGATCAAGAATGGGAAGCAGGTTGCGGAAGGGCTCGCGCGCGACGGTGCAAACTTGACGCGCGATCCTTTTGACTTGGGAACGGTGCGACTGCTCGACTTTTGGGATACGTATAGCCATGGCAAGTTTCAGGCTCTGCGTTGCGAGCTTATGCTGAGATGTGCGACAGTGTTTTCGGGCGATGGCGGCGTCATCTCCTCAGCTTCCGATATGGTTCGCAGGCCTTCTTAACTGAAGCTCTTTCCATTCTAAACCTTAGAAAAGGCAATTTGGTTGCGTGCGCTCCTCGAGGGAGGACTGAATCAAGCTCAAGCACCAGTTATCCCTTCGGATGTGATTGATAAAGTTGCAGAAGGAGTTACAGTCATTCCCGACCAGTAAGTCCTGTTCTATATCCTCGATTGCATAGTGACTGGTGAGAACAGAGGATATCCGGAGATCTCCCCGATTGTGTATGGTGGCGGCCAGTCGCGAGGGAGCTATCGTGGCTTTGGTCAGCACTCATATTCTCATGACTGACTTTCACTGACCTTCAGACAGAGTTTATCGAGGTGGGAGATATCCGGGCTCTGGAACTGAATGCACTCACGGATCACTGCAGCATGATGGATCAGTTCCTGGGTTCAACAGCATAGTCAGCCGTCTGCCCTGGCAGGAATTCGGCGTCGCGGTGATGACAAACGACGACAGCCTCGGGTCGTTGATAGCTGAGGCGATCAAGTTCCGGCTCATCGACGAGTTCCTGCAACTCAAGCCCGTGGATTGGACGTCCCGGTGCGTGCTGAACTGAATCGCATTTGCCTTCGGAAGCTGTCTGACCTCGTCCGATGTCAAGATACCGCAACGCAATCGCCTCGTCGCTTCCACCGCCCGCGACACCGCGCTCGAAGCACCCAAAGCTGCCATCCGTTCCATTCACCTCCCTCGCTGGGAAATACTCCAACCCCGGGTATTACGAGGTCGACTTCTGCCTCTTCTTGGACAGCACCCAGACGGGCCAGTCGTGCAAGGATCTCGCTGCTCGGTACCCAGAAGAAATCGATCCCGCGATCCCCACTCTCGTCGCGGACTTCAAGGTGGTTGCTGACACATTCATCCGCTTCCAGCACTTCAGCGGAGAGGTTTGGAATGTGTCTGCCCTTCAGGTTGAGGTGCGACGCCGTGTGCTTGCGATCCGCGGTCAGCTGACGGAGATGTGCAGCGCGCGTCCGTCCCCAAGGAACAGTGGATATATAGACTCGACGGCTTGGTCTTCGAGTTTGACGGGGACCGAGGGTTTGCCGCTCTCGGTGGATTCTGGGGCGCGGGTCTCGGTGTTCCTGATCCCGTCGGCAAGACTGCTCAAGAGCGCGCCGAAGTTTGGTTCGCCAAAGTGCGCAAGTGATCCTACGATTCGTCTTCAAGGGCGACGGGCCCTGTAATGTTATTCTGAATGAACAAACTACAGAGTGTGTGATCATGGCAGCTTTGCTCAGACGAGAAGACGTGCCGCGACAAGCGGAAGCTTCAGCGCAGATGCGCAGAAGGTTTTTGGCTGGATGGCGCTTGAGTGCAAGATCCCATCGCCACCTCATCCACCCGACTGAAAAATGCGCCTCAACTGGCAGTTAAGCTTGTAGTCATCTTGTTCTTGCACAGCTCCTCCGAGGCGAGCTCGGAGTCCTAACCGGCAGTACTGAGCAGCCCAGGTCTGGAAATGGAGATTTGCAGGACGGGTTTGAGGCTGGAGAGAAGAGCACCGTCCGTCAGGGCTGCGAGGAAGCGTTACATAGCACGCACACGCAAGCCTGCGTTAGGTCCGGAACCAAGGCATTAGTCCTTCTGACATGGCAGGCTTCCGTAACCGCCCTGTCATCAGCTATGTACTGCTAGTGAAGTCCACTGGCACTGTGCAAGATGTGCAGTTGCGAAACACGTGAGCTGTCGCGTCACCCCACGGCCCCGAAGGACCCTGCAGGCTGTCAGAGGCCGGAGGCCCGGAGCAACCCTAGTCCAGGAAGATATGTACTTATGTCCGGCATGCTCGATCCTCAGTAGTAGCCGGGCCCGTTCCCACGACTTCTGGACAAGCGACAAGCGTCTTTTTCGCCGTGCGGAGTGGACCGCACAGTCAGGACCGGATTTCCTCCTGGACATGCGATGTCGGCGCACGGTGAGCCTCGAGGTCAGAAGACTTGACGGACCCTGGTGACTACGGCATCCCACGGGCCTGGGAGTTCCGATGGCGTCGTCGTGCCCCAGGCGGGACTGAACCGTTTGCAGAGGCGAGGAGCAAGGAGGTTGGGAAGAAGAGCCGGACAACGCGTAGCGTGGAATACGTCTTGTTCAGGTGCGCATACAATCTGCATGCTCGTGTGGTGTGAGACGAGTCCGACGTCCCGCAGTATCTCACCAGGACTGGTCGCTGCTGCATAATACAATGATTTGTCCCTCAGCTGGACTGGTCGGTCGCTGCTGTATAATACAATGAATTGTCCGCAAACTTAAACGGGATATATACTGTATGCTATGCTATACAACTACACAACTAAAACGCGCGCGCACTGGCGCTCTCGTGCGACTTCTGGCTGTACACAGAGGCGTCGTCTGCAACAGAGAGCCGCTGCACGCCCGCCACGATCGGCCTGGAATAATCAACATGGTCGCGCAGAGACCTCGTCGAGTGTGTCGCAGGTCCAAGTAACACCGCCAGCCCGGGCCGGAGAAGTCCGTCCGCATGGATCGACGAGTCGTCCGTTAACGCAGGTGACGGATGGGGCCAGACTGGCGGCTGCATTATCGGCAGAATTGGCGGATTTAGCAAAGAGCTCGGCCCTGCCAATCCGTATCCCGGGGTTATGTACGCGGGAGCAGGTGGTTTAATCCGGCCCAGGCGTCCGAACCCGAACAAATCGCGCAGGCTGTCTTTGCGGGTCCGATAGCTCGATGGCGGAACGGGCGGGTGCGGGTACTCCGCTGCTGGCGGCGTCGGCATCAACTGCGACGGCGGCGATATCAGCATAGAGCCGGAATGGTACGAGTGGCTGGGCGTGGCGTGAGAGGAGTGGGATGTTTGCACGCCGGCCCCGTGGTCGGCGGACGTCGAACCGTAGCCCAAAGTCGAGGGTGCTCTCTCGACCATAATATCGTCTTCCTCGTCGCCGAGCGGGGAGCGCCACCTCTGGATCGGCTTGGCACCGAATGGATCGTACGGATGTCGATTGCGGTACCGCCGGCAGCCGAAGAACATCAGGACGACAAGTAATACCAAGGCCAGGAATCCCCCGACCGAGACGCCAACGATGCCTGAGACATTGTGTGCAAAGCTGGTCGCGCGGTCAGAACGTAGATTTCAAAATGTATAACGAACAACTTACGCCGAACCGGTCCCAACGCTGGTGCCTAGCACACCAGATGGAGACGCAGAGCTCGTGCTTGTCTCGGTGGCAGAAGTCACCAGATGATGACCATCATATGTCTTTGTCCCCGTCAAGGTAATTGACCTGGACTGGGGTCAGAAAACGCAAGGGAGATATCAAGGTTTGCGCGCACGGTATCACCGACGAGCTCGGAGGATGAGTCACCGCGCTTGACGACGCAGACGTGGTGGTGCTTGGAAGGGTGCTACTATAAAGGGTAAGTAAATAACCTTAACCGTGATATGCAATCCCCGCGAACCGTGCTGGAGACCGAACCGGTCGTGAAGAGGAGAAGGGAAATGAAGATGAAGTGTTGCTCGAAGTAAGGCGCTTCGAAGACGAGAAAGTGGATGTAGAAGTTGGAGCTGAGAAGGAGCTTGAAGGCAGAACCAAGCTCGAAGCAGCAGCCGAAGATGAAGCTCCACTTGGGCTTGACGACGAAACGGCCGAGGACAAGACCGAGGATGAGGATGTCGAGGCCGAAGCGGAAGCAGACGCCGATGCAGACGCCGGTGCAGACGTAGACGCAGACGCACTGGGGATGGAGGACGCGCTTGAGCTAGCGAAAGAACTGGAACCCGAAGCCGAGCTAACGACCACGGACGAAGACAGTGCCGCGGAAGATGCTGACGACGACGATACTGGCGATGACGAGCCTGACGACGACGAGCCTGACGACGACGAGGCCGATGACGACGATGCCGACGCCGACGCTGAGCTCTCTCCCGCCCGAACATACACGTAGGCTCTGGATTCCTCCATCCCGTAATCCCTCGTTCGTGCCATCGATGTGCGATTCTGCTTTTTAAGCATCATCTTCGACGTGGCACTAAACACCACAGGTGAGACTAGAACTAGCATTGCAGCCCCATGAATTAGCACGAGACATACCGCGTGTTAATAACATCGTTCCCTGGCTCGTAGCGTGTGGGACGACGATAAGCAGTGGCACTCGGGGTTCGTCGGCGCGGTGGGGTGCGCCGCTTCTGGGGTGAATTTGGGTTGGAGTTTATGTCCAGATAGGGAGGCGAGTCCGAGCCGGCGCGGCGCTGTCGTATGAGAGTGGGGTTCATAGCCTTCTCACCGCGGCTCCTATAAGTCTCCATTCGATCCGACCGGGGACGAGCAAGAAGACTGGGTGGCGAGGAATGGACGGGGGGAGTGAATAACCGTCGCGTGAGTTCAAGATGCAGGCGTGTTCATAAAAGAATGGGAGGGGCGTAGAAAGAAAAGCAAGGGAGAAAACCGGGAAACAAGACGTGGGGGCTCGCAGAGTCCCAAATAGAAGAAGCGTATCGGAGCGTCACAGTGCCAGCCAGACCCGTTGAGTGGAAGAATGGAAGCCCCGTCGTGCCCAAGCACGACTGTCACCCGCAACGAGAAAGAGAGAGTAAGGACCAACAACAAAGTTGCATCACATCGCATCGTGCGGGTGGAGTGGATTGTCATACGCCACAGCCACCAATTCCATGGACGGTTTCTCTCCGCGATCGCCGATTGCCGATCCAGTTGATGGTGGTTTTCATTGACGTTTAGGGGCCTCTCTTCCCTCTCGGATTTTTTTTATCGAGACCAGCTCCCACAACGACCTGCGCCGGACCAGTTCGAGTGGAGATCACACCGAGGACCTTGCTTCGGATCAGTGTCTCAAGCTTGTCCGACTGCCACTGACAGACAAATCATGAAATCTGATCAGGCCCTGGCGGTGACTCACCGATTTCTTTCTGCACGTTCCATTCATTCGGTCATGACGGGCGACCTTTCCGATGCCAAGCGCGCGTCGATCGTGTATCTTCAACGGCCCCGCTCAATTATGAAGTGCGTATACATAAGTGTAAGACAGGGAGTGAGACATGATTTTTTCAATGAACAAACGAAAGACGATATGTTGGGATGTCAACAGTAACGTCAACCCCCGCACAGGTCCAGGCTCATGATTTTACAGCAACGCAGTACATGCTTCCAGTAGTCAACCTACCAACAGAAGCATTGTGATATCCTTAGTCACGGCTAGATTATGTACATTCGAGAGGCCGAAAACGGACATACCCTTGAGCCTGATCTCGAGCAATACAATGTCGTCAGACGCGGATGACATATATGTCTGCGAGTCTGAGCAAGGCACCCAGAGTATCCGAAAGCCGCACAACAGGGATCTGACCCTGCTGGTCCTTGTTCCTGGTATAGAAAGAGAGCCGATCGGCACCCACGAACTGAATTTATCATAAATGTGCGAGAATATGTCGATTACTGCGACAGCTGTATGGAAATCGTGATCCGGAACGCTGAACTTTTCTCGCGCTTCAATACTGTTCCTAGCCGAGATAGCCCCACAGTTTGTCTCACTCCGAGCGTTTGGTGTCGCTGACCACCTCGGCATAGGAGCGCGAAGCATTGTCAGCATCCCGCTTATCCCGAGTCTTCTTCGCCAGTTTGTAGAATAGCGATCCCTGAAAAACGCAAAACCGTCATTTTCCTGCGCCTGTCACGGAGCAGCACGAAGTAGCACTCACGTCCATGACATCGTGTACATCCTGCTTGCTAACACGTCCATCCTCCGGCCACAGCAGCAGATACGTAGCCAGCCATTCAAATGCGGCCGCGAACCAACCGAACTAGGCATGGAAAACAATACAGTCAGTCAGCAATCTGGGCCGAGAAGACCGAGGATGACGGACAAAGTCGAACGGGTTCCTGTTCGCCTGGATCATCCGAACCCCTTCGCCGAACGACATGTATTCATGCGGAGCCGCGGTGTACAGGTCCCATACGTAATTGAAGCGCTTCTCGTCCAGCTCGCCTGTCTGAGTAAACGCTCCGGTGTCCGATCCGTGGATGCCCTGTGCAGGAAATGATGACCAAGCCACGGAGGGAAGGTCGACTCTGGACGACGACTTACGCGTTGGCTCTTCGAGACACGGATACGGAAGAACACATCGGGAAGCAGCGTTCCCCAAGTCAGGTATCTATGCCGAGTCAATCGCGGGAGAACCGCGCAGACACGCCGTGAACGCACGAAAAGCCGGCATGGATCACCAGGGTCGCAAACAGCGAGATGAGGAGATTGAATCCAATGGCGAGGAATCCGCGGAAACTGTGGAGAGCGTTGGATTTCAGCTCGCCAGGAGCGTGGGCACGGATAGATAAATAGACGCGTCTTACGTGTCGAGTGGCCAGATTATATCGTCCCCATCAGTGTCGAAGAACGCGACGTGAGACTGGAGTGCTGGGCGAGGCGACGCGGCAGCGTCTGTGTCGCCCGGATCGCTACCTGTCTTCATATCTGGAGGAAAATATTTGAACGAGGACCCGATGAGCGGGGGAGAGGATGAAGAGAAAGAGAGAATTTGGGATTTGAGGGAAAGCTGGTGATGTCATGATGAGGTCTTAGCATGTGATTGATGACGGGGATCGCCGCGTCGTGGATGTGTGTCCGCGTTGATGAGCAGACGGATTCGCATTGATTCAGCCCTTACGAAAAGGATATTCTCTCTGTCTCGTCACTGGAAGCAGACATTCCTCTCTAGCGAGGAATGACCAGAATTTCACGAATACTTGGTGAATGATAGTGAAATTTCGAGCCAGTGATAATGCATATTCGCCAGCGGCGACACAAAAAAACAGATGAATCACAGCAGCGCAGCTTTTCGAGAAAGTCGTCTGTTATGGCAGAGGCAGACATTCTTCCCACTGACATCTTGTTAACCGCGCCAGTTGTCCCCGATCTCACCGGCATTTTCAAGGCGAGGTAGGCAGTTATCAATGTTCTTCACCTTCCCAAAATGCTCGAAACATCACTCTAAATGCCTAGAGGTGAACGATCATGCCCAATGAAGGTAAACGTAAGCGACCAAATATGATCAACATCATCTCTTTTTGTGATTGGGTCAGCTGATTGAGTGTCTCCGCGCGACTGTCCATGCTCTACTTTCGCATCCAGCCTCTTGATCTCGAGCGAGTCGCTGCTACCGCGCATCGCATGGGGCTCGGAGATTGTTGGGCTGAAAACAGCATGGAGACTCATGGACCCAGTGGCGACGACGGACCGCACCCATTGAGGATCTCATGAGCCGTAACCCCGTCTCTGACATGGCCTCATGCTGGAAACGAGTGATCAAGCACTCACCCTGTAGAACTGACTTTCTAGAGATCCAACTCCTGCGATAGAGTCGTCCGCCGGCCGCGTTGTGAGAAACGACGCAGTACATCCCACCCACCTAATTCGCATAATCCAATCGCATCCACGAGTCGCCGTGTCTAGGATTTCAGACGAGAAACACATCACGCCACGAACGACATTTCCACACCGTTCTGGATGCACGACGGAACGTGCCTCTACAGCGACGGCCATCAAGAGCGGCAAAGCAGTGGCCGAGGGATTTTCGCGCTCAGAGATGAACTTGACCGCAACAAGACCCTTCCGAGCAAGAAACGATGGATACCATCGACTGAGGGATCCGCACAGTCGTGGTTGTCGAGGTTCACATTCGCATTCTAGTGCAAACTGATGCGATCCGATAGCACTTTCCGGCGATGGAGGGGTCATCCCACCAGCGCACGACATCGTCCTTGCTCTCTCTTACCTGATTTCAGTTCTTCGACGTTGGTCATCTGGTTGCGTGCTCTGCTGGAAGAGAGGAAGAATCAAACTAAGGAAAGTACCATACCGTCTGCCGTTTATTCGAACGATCGCTTATTGAGTGACTGCGCGCACTGTGCAGCTGCTTGAATAGCTCTTCTATCACCTCGTGTGGTGGAGTGGCGGTGGCCAAATGCGGGGGACTCATCGTCGTGTTCGGTGCATCACCGCTTACCTCAATGGAGACGGCGCTCGGACATCCTGTCAGAGTTTATTGAGTAGCTGACCCACTGACTGTCACAGCATCCGTTGATGAAGGCCTGGCACGGCGTGTGCGTTCCTGGCTTCAACGGTCAGACAACGCGGATCCCTCCCCGAATTTTGGTCCTTGGATGTTCCGGTCTTGGCAGATGACCACACACCGTCAGCACGTACGTCGGTGAAACTACCAAGTATCGGATACTGTAATGGACGCGTTTCTCCGTCTGGACCCAGTCGATTGCACGCGTGTGCTGTGATTTTCGGCTTTGAGTACCGGGTCCAGGCCGTCGCAAAGCTCCCTCTTTGATCCATTTTACGGTTCAACAATGCGACCGCTCCGTCTGTCCCGTGCGCATCGCTCGCGAGGCCGCACTGAAATTCCGGCCACTGGGACCCTCGCTTCCGCCTGTTCCTTGATGCAACCACGCTCGGGTCGTCGTGCAGTGCCGCGTGAGCTTCTGACCCGGCAAACATCGGTCCGGGAGTTCCGACTCCAGTTTCGCATCTCAAAACAATCAATGACGCTTTCTCCGCTCTCCAGCATTCTGAAAAAGAGCTCCGGAACGTGTCTGCTGTGCAAGTATAGGTTCAACGTGTCCACCGTCTCACGGGATCGTTATCCGGTGTTCATTCAAAGGGAACTACTGCTCAACGCACGGAGAGGCTTCTCGTTGAATTTGACGGAAATTTCCGCTGCACGCGGCGATACCGCTGTGAAGCGAATAGAGAAAAGTTTGTCTGATCGACGATCTGTTATTTATCTTATCTCTGACCAGAATGTTTTGTCGCGATCCCGTGACATGATCGTTGCGCGCTCAGTCCTAATAAGCACATCCATATTTATTGGTCGTCTGCTTCTGCGATCGGATATTTGCGTTCAGTCTCTGGCGCACAGCGGAGCTTGTCGCCGCGCCAGGAATGGCCAGCTTTATGACCCTCGGGCCGGCGGATGGCCTGCACAGGGAGGCGTGCGGCCTTCGCGGTAGAACCAGGGAGTGAAGCAGAACGCGCTGGGGCTATGTAGCCGAGGAAGGAGATGAGCTCGGGTAGCAGGTAGAGAGCGTGTCTTCACCGCGAACAGGCTCAGCTCAGTGTATGCACCGGTGTTGATCATGAAATTCGGCATCTTTCACAGGTCTGCGGTCGATCGTTTTGTGTCCGGATACCCTGTCTCTAACCACTGGGAAAAGCTTTGGAGTACTGTTCCTAGATGCTCATAGCTCTCGAGTTCTGACCTACGTTACATTGATTGCCCGATTGAGTTTGAGAGTTCGGAGACAGTACGGGAAAAGGCGACGGCTACATAGAGAAAAAGAGGCTCTCTCCGTGCTTGAAGAATGACTAGTGGGCGGCCATAGGCAATCGACACAATAATAACGATCCAAGGTCTGTAGTGCCATCCATACGCAGCGTCATCCCGCTCTCAGCATCCTGCTCGACACCATCGAAGTACTCTGCCGCACCGCAGAGGTTCAAGACCCTCGAAAAAGCTGCGTGAATTTCGAGAAGCTGCGGGTTGGGTGGGTCGATTCCTTCAACTTGCCGGAATCGCACATCCGTCGAGACTCTTCCATTACTGAATCTTCTGCCACTCTGGACTGTTCGGGCTCGATACTTGTCTGGGGAATTCGGGTACTGCGGCGACATAAGTCAGGGTTAGCTGAAAACTGCAAAAAAAACTACCGTGTGCTTTTCCAGATAGAAACGAAACCTAGCAAAAGAATGGTGCTCTTCGGCTGTCATGAAGATGGCGTTCATAGGCGAGTTGATTTTTGATCCAAAAAGCTTCTTGAAGTCAAGGTTCGTCCATGACTGGAGCATATCCCGCGTCTGAGCAGGATCCTTCTGCAGAGAAACGTCGAAGGACACGCGAGAAGTCGGTGACGGTATAACGCACAATTTGCGGGTGGACACCCGGTGGGTCGTCGAGGTCGTTGAGCAGGAACGGTAGGACGTGTGCCACTTGCATCCGCAGCTGCGGGACATCAGGTATCTCCTGTCCACGGCCTTGTTGTAACAGCTCCGTGACAAAACTCCGGTCGAATGCCCCGGTAATTGCACAGCGATGTTGCTCGCGGTCTGCAATCTTTACACGGCGATGTGAACATACCGAAGGTCAGGAAAAAAAAATTGTCTGCATACGAGGTCTCTGAGTTCTGCATGTCCCTTGTCAATGGTTGGGGTCTGGCTGCTGGCAGGCTCAGTCCTGAAAGCCCGAGCGATGGTCAGCACTAGGGACATAAGCTCACTTGGTAAGAAGAAGAATGCTAAGACGAACTTGGTAGGAAGAGGTAATCCAACCACGCTTTAGCAACGTCGATCACCACCTCAGTTACCACCGCCATCACGCGGTTCTCCCCCCGCGGGGTACCTACTGGGTACCCTCAGACGTCTTGCTGAGGGTACCCAGTAGGTACCCCCTGGCGGGGGGTGGGGGGGCCATTTAGTCGATTTAGTAGCGGGGGCATATGCGGGGGTCAGGAGGAGGGGGGGTGTATGTAGCATGTGACTTGTCCATAAGAGCGGGTAGCTGGGCGGGAAAAAAAAATCCAATCACATGACGCGCTGCATGGGCGGGATGGCGGGATAAAAAAATCACGTGATGCGCTGCACCAAATATTACCAAAATGCTGGCAGGGGTTGGCGGCGTCATTGGCGGGGTCACTACCACCCCCCCGCACACCATGGCGGGCAGTGGGCGCATTATCACGTGACTTTTTGGGCGCCTTTTTTGCAGCATTTGGCATGATTTTGGAAATGCTGCTTGATACATTGCATGCTGTGGCAGACAATGGGCGCAAAATCACGTGATTTTCCGCCAAAAAAATGGAAGACTCCCCAAATCATCCCAGTATAATTTCCATAGGTAAATAGGCTAGTTAAACATGAACTTGAGCTTAGAAAAACCAAAATGCACCCTGCACAATGGGATTGGTGACACACTTGATCCCATCATTTGGCAGGGCCTGCCGCAGGGGCTGCCGCGGGGGGTGCCGCGGGGGGTGATGCGGGGGCTGCCCCAGGGTTGGTCTGTTATGATCCATTTTTGTTCATTGAAGATCTTGTAGAGGTGAGCAGGGCAACAGGCCAACTGGGAATTTATAGGAAGACATTGAAATTGATGCAGGGGTCAGATGCGGGGCCCACTGCAAGGTCTACTGCAGGGGCAGGGGTGCATTATATCAAATTTCGATGTATCTATTCTGGCCATGGCCATAGAATGTCACATAATTATCCTTCAATTTGGCAGGGGTTTCTTGGTATGGTCTGCAGCTAAAGATATTTGATTCCCTTGTGCTTTAGCAGAGCCTGGGATATTGAAAACATGCAATAGCACCTGTATAATCTGTCTATGTAGGGTCAAATACAAGTTATGATTTGTTCATGTGTTGACCGGCAGGGTGGGTAGGTTGGCTGCACTGGGTCCACTGTCATCTCATTGATTTTTTGGTGCGCTCATTCTACATACATGGCTATTAGTCAATTGTTCACACTGTTAGCACAGTGTAATCTTACCCTGCGGCACATTGTACCACATGTCAAGTACACATTGAATGTCTCACTTCCTGACTGGGACTCATTGAAAATCAGAAGTTCTGTGATGCTTTGCAAATGATTTTCTCAAGCTGCAACATGAACAGATGGAACATAGCGGATTTGACATGCCCTCAATTCATTCCTGGGTCGTATATAAGAGGATGAACTAACTCACTAATAAGTTGTCTCACAATAGCCAGAGATTGAGCATGAATTCAGATTTCATATACAAAATTCTTTCCACTTAGAGCTTGGATACTTGCAAGACAAACTGCAGAAACATACATGATTGCTTTTGCTACTGGGACTGTATACGTTCTTGCCATAACTCACTGCCTGCAACTCTACCTGCACCCCCACTGGCACCCCTGCAGGCACCCCCCGCCAAACTGGCACCCCCCACTGCACCCCCGCATGCACCCCCGCCAGGCTGACACCCCCTGCCACACCCCCCGCTGCACCGGTGCCTTGCCCCTGCCATCTTCTCATATGTAAGATTACATAATCTGACAGCTCGGAACACGTCAAGTCACCAGCCAATCAGAACCTGTATAAACGTCGTACCGAAGTGTTTCCCGCTCTTCTGACACTGTTTCTACAGTTATGCAGCTGAAAACCATCGGAATAAGGTCTCCCTATGCTGTTCTTGTTGAATATGTAGGTATTTCATATCATTTGTCCATCCAAAATTCGAAACATGAAAACAGTTCACAGTTGCTCAAGGTTCCTACATAGATAATGGTTCAACATAGTTCACTTTGGGTATTGCAAAAAATATATTTTCTACAAATGAACAACTCAATACAGCTGAATGATATACCCCTTGGCAGTGTCTGAAACAAATTCTGAGAGCCCTGGACCCTGGAACCATTCAAAAACTTGAAATGGGTCCGAAAAATAGGGTCTTGATAAACATGAGATAGGGGCCAGTTTGAAGAGATGTAAGCCACTGGTCATGTTCAATGTGGTATTTGACAATGTTTCGGTGCCCTGCCCCTCACCAAATGGCCTCCTTTCCCACCAAAAAGTGCACATACACACTCAAGCTTATAAAATCAATTGTCGGCCAGAAACAAGAGCAGGCAAGTTGTGTCACTGGAATTGGGTAAAGGTAACCTGGAAGTCACTCGGGTTGCAGTACAGAAGCTTTGGAAAGTGATCCTGTAGTTGATCCACATTGGGTAGGCTGGCAGAGGCTTGGGCACCCCCCGCGGCACCCCCCGCAGCAGCCCCCGCGGCAGCCCCCACCATCAACCCTGCCCCAGCCCCTGCAAGGATTGGATGGACAAAAGTGCTGCCTAATCAATTGTTAGTGTTCACAGTATTATCACATCCATTAAAGTGTCTAAATGGTGTGTAGACAAGGAATATGAAATCCATCAATCAACAATCCTAACACCTGTATCAGATATCCTGAAAATGGAGAGGAAGATTTGGGAGCAGACAGACTATTGGAAGCAAACAGACAGGGACAAGGAGCAGTAGCTATTCCTGGCGATCAATTTGGCTGCACATGGAAAACTCCCTTGGGGGATTTGCCAAACAAATCAAGTTGCGCATTTTTCAAACATTAAATTCGACCTAATAGCTTGAGCAGACCATGCCCAAATGTACCAAGTTATAACTTGTATTTGACCCTACATAGACAGATTATACAGGTGCTATTGCATGTTTTCAATATCCCAGGCTCTGCTAAAGCACAAGGGAATCAAATATCTTTAGCTGCAGACCATACCAAGAAACCCCTGCCAAATTGAAGGATAATTATGTGACATTCTATGGCCATGGCCAGAATAGATACATCGAAATTTGATATAATGCACCCCTGCCCCTGCAGTAGACCTTGCAGTGGGCCCCGCATCTGACCCCTGCATCAATTTCAATGTCTTCCTATAAATTCCCAGTTGGCCTGTTGCCCTGCTCACCTCTACAAGATCTTCAATGAACAAAAATGGATCATAACAGACCAACCCTGGGGCAGCCCCTGCATCACCCCCCGCGGCACCCCCTGCGGCACCCCCCGCGGCACCCCCCGCGGCACCCCCCGCGGCAGCCCCTGCGGCAGGCCCTGCCAAATGATGGGATCAAGTGTGTCACCAATCCCATTGTGCAGGGTGCATTTTGGTTTTTCTAAGCTCAAGTTCATGTTTAACTAGCCTATTTACCTATGGAAATTATACTGGGATGATTTGGGGAGTCTTCCATTTTTTTGGCGGAAAATCACGTGATTTTGCGCCCATTGTCTGCCACAGCATGCAATGTATCAAGCAGCATTTCCAAAATCATGCCAAATGCTGCAAAAAAGGCGCCCAAAAAGTCACGTGATAATGCGCCCACTGCCCGCCATGGTGTGCGGGGGGGTGGTAGTGACCCCGCCAATGACGCCGCCAACCCCTGCCAGCATTTTGGTAATATTTGGTGCAGCGCATCACGTGATTTTTTTATCCCGCCATCCCGCCCATGCAGCGCGTCATGTGATTGGATTTTTTTTTCCCGCCCAGCTACCCGCTCTTATGGACAAGTCACATGCTACATACACCCCCCCTCCTCCTGACCCCCGCATATGCCCCCGCTACTAAATCGACTAAATGGCCCCCCCACCCCCCGCCAGGGGGTACCTACTGGGTACCCTCAGCAAGACGTCTGAGGGTACCCAGTAGGTACCCCGCGGGGGGAGAACCGCGTGATGGCGGTGGTAACTGAGGTGTCGATCACCGCGTGCGTTCCTTTTTCGTGCGCGAGAGAAAGGGCGACGGCCACATACCGCTGTCCGCACGGATCCGGCGCTTCTTCAAGCATACCCACCAGCAGATCGTCGAGACGAAAACGTGTGTCAGACTGGCGGAGAACGGTTTTCCTGGGGCGTAGGACGTTGTCGAGCACATCACGGACGAGTTCGACGGTGGGGAGCTCGTCGTTGTCGTAGACGTCCCAGAATCTATCGGATGTGCAGGTCAAGACGGTGCACGTCGAAACAGGGGAGACTGTTCGCCGATTGGACATGATGATTTCAGCAAAGGGTGCCGCGCCCCTAACGTCGCACTCACAGCCACTCATGCGTTATCTGGATCTGTGATTGGCCGAAGCCCCCACGTGCTCCCGCCTCGATTACGTGGACGCAATGACCGGTGATGTTACTTGTACTGCGAAACACACAACGTATGGAAGGATGCTGGAAGAGGGGCACTGCGAACATCGAGGGCGGCGGCTTGCAAGGGAATGAGAGTTTCGTGAGAGCCGAGGGTCTTCGTGTGTTGATGACTCGAACCCGTTCCTCAGCCTCATCCCTGATCTACTCCAGCTTTACAGAGCACCCAGCACCTCTGGTGCGCCGTCGAGTTCCGCTCTCTCCACAGTCGATGCTGCAGTGCCCGATTCTGTGACGGAATTGTGCGCCCCAAGATCCCTACCACTGACATGAGACGAGTACAGCACCGCCACCAATCTTTCCCTTGTCGCACGCACGTAGTAAGCATCGGCAAGAATAACTAACGAACCTCTGAGCCATGAACAAGTCTCGCCAAGAATCATATACTTCCGACGGTCCGACCTCGCCTTCTCCTCGAATCGCCGCTTTCACCTCGGGAATGACGTCAACAACGAGCGATCCTGTGGCAGAAACTGGGCGTGCCAGCAGATGCCCGGCTTGGCACACACCAGTAGCACAGGACATCGTTCTACTTATCTCGCATAACGCTCTCGGCGGCCACGGGCTGACGCACGCGTTCCTGCGCATTCCGGATGACGACGACTCGGCGGAGATTGGGTGGATCATAAACGTTCGCGGAGATGCGGCCGTCGTGCCGGCAGACGTGTGGTCAGAGCTGAATGTGGCGGTGAGTGCGGCGAGAGCAGAGGTCCGCGCAGGTCGAGGCGGGTCGTACAGCCGACCGCGATATGTGCGTA